CCCGCGTACGGCAGATCCCTGCTGTCGCCACTGATGACTGGTTCCTCCCATACACACAACAAGAAGGTAACTTCACCTACGACCACGTATACAGCATAAAGCATGTTAAAATTTGGGCCAGAAATCATTCCTTTCAGCAGACTATTGGTTTCGAACAGTGCAGTGTCCAAAGAGCAGAGCTGGGCTTTTCAAGGCGAGGATGAGGAAGGTGCCTGGCTCCCCGTCCAGCCGCACAGGTCGATGCTGGTGTGCAGCGCAGGCGAGAGCTCGGGCTGTTACCGAGTCACAGGCACGGGCTTACACTGCCGCTGCACGAACGCCCATCCCAACCCACGGGGTGCCCATCCCAACCGCTCTCCTCCTTCCCCCACCAGGAAAGGATGCTGCCTGGGATTCAACCCTTAGCAAAGATTTCTTCTGAAAAACCCCAGATCTGCTGATAGCGAGACACAGCGGCAGCTCTGGCAGCACGTGCAGCACCGGCAGGCAGAGACCGGTTAACGGCACTTGAACTTGCGCATATAGATGGGGTGAACTTAGAGGCCGCCCTTGGCTCTTGCCTGCAGGGCCAGGCTACAGCTGGAGTTGGGATTCACCAGTTGTGAACTGGGGGTGTAACATACGCGCACAATGAGCAGGGACCCCTGAAAGCAGGGATTTTCTATGGGCAAAGGAACGAACATGAAGGAGCATGGGAGTGCCGAGGTTAAAGGGAACCCATAAGAGCTGGCAGAACCACTCCACCTCATCCCAACACGATGCAGAAACCAAACCAAACATCTCACTAGAGGCACATGGTTTCCCAACAGGCCCCGGGCAAATTCTGGGACTACAAACTTCAAAGGAAGAGCAGAGCTTCCTTGGCTCAAAGCAGGAGGACTGCACCGAGCCCGCGTTTCCCAGGGTGGCCTCAGTTGGGAACCGTGGAGAGAACCTGAAGCCACGTTCTGCAGATGGTCGTAAGTGTCCCTATCAGCAACCGCAACACAGCAGGCAGCCAGGATGCAGGAGGCATCCTGATCTCCACTGGTCTGCAAAGTGCTGACATGGGAACAAACCAATACACAGACTTTCAAAGAGAAAATTTTATGGACGCTTTTATACACATACACAAATATTTTAATATAATGGTAACTGAAATGTTATCCATATTCTTAGTACTGTCATAATTAACTAAAAAGATATTTTTTAAATTTTGTAAAAACTGACATATTTTACACATCTTCTATTTACAATTGCAATATACTTAAATGTTATAAAACATCCACTCTGACCTTTAAAATATATGTATACTAGAACTTAGTATTAGATATATTATAATTTATAGCAAACTTAGGGTTTGCTGTGTACCTATCTGTCCAATGGGAATTTCATAATCAGCCTGGTTTAATAAAGGCTGCTCAAACCCAAAAACTGACAACAAAAAAAAGGGAATGTGCAAATATTGGGGCAGGCCAAAAAAAAATAAAAAAAATATCAAGCTTGCAGTTTTAAAAAATAACACTGTGAAGATTTCCAATAAATTAAAATCATAACCCACAAATCCTTTTCCTGGCGTTGTCCATGATCAAATTAATTTTCAGTACTATTAATCTAAAAGGGAAAAAAAAAACCCCAAACAGAAACCGCCCCAGCCACCCCAGGTCTTCCCGAGGCCGCGTGTTCCCCACGCTGCAGTCAAGCATCAGGATTTGCCGGGGTGGTTGCTGCTGGCGCAGACGAGCTGGCTCTATTGATGACTCGTGAATAAGTGCGCTCCATTCCTTGCTGTTTTGCCGAGTCCTCCTTGTACGCAATCTTTTCATAAAAAAGAAAAAAAAATATGCAACAGTGAGAGAGATCTGAACAGTTTGGTGCCTGAAGTGTTCATTGTCTAATCAAGGATTTCCCATTTTTTATTTATTGCACAATGATGCTAAGGATCTGAGAGAGAAAAGGACCTTTGCCCGGGGACCCCGAAGCGACCGGAGGCGGCAGCGAGGAGGGCATCCTCTGAGCTGGGGGGACACACGGGGATACAGCTTCTGCCAAGCAGCGCTTCGTGGGCTTCCCTGAACTATGGTTCTCCAACACCACTCATGCAAACACAACCGAGAAGTCACCTACATTTTATAAACTCAGCAGACACCCGCACAAGCACCTACTGACCGTGCGACAGATCAGCCCCAGCTCTGCCCACGCAGTCGTTTGGGGCACGCAGCATCCCCACCGAGCCTCACGCACGCGGCAGCTGATAAAACGTGCCCGCTAGCAGGGTTTGGGGCAACTACCAGGCTGGGGCTGTGGGCAGCGCTGCACTCTCGGGGAGAAGCAGCGGCAAAAGCTTGCTCTGCCCTGTCCCATGTATAGGCTTTAGCAAGACGTTCTTTTTAGCCTCAGTAATAGCCATTTTTCCTACTTACTTCTATACATACAGACTGAAAACCTGCCTTCTTCCATGGGGTACTATGTTGAAGCATCCACGTGCAGAGACACGGGCCATTCCCACTGACCACACGGCCATCAGCGGCGGAAGAGAATCCTCTCCCCTTCGCAAAGGTCAGGCGTAATCTTACGCCATCAAGCCCCAGTTATCCCTGGTCAGGGTTGCAGGTCAACCGCACCACATTTATTACTCGGGCAGACATGACCACGCTGTCTCCATGTACAGCTTCAGCGCCTGAGCCAGCAACTCGGGCAAGCTCCAGGAAGGAGCTGCTCCCATGCCGCGGGCTGGAGGAAGAGCACCGGGGCTCAGGACTCCCCGGCAGCGCCCAGCAAAGCCAGGGAAGCTGCAGGGAGAGCAGGGCAGCGCGGCGGAGCACAGGCTGGCTGTGGCACGCGTTGTCTGCCCAGACTGCTGACTTCACCCAGCTGTGACTCAAATCCAACTTGGGGTGGCTGCTGTTGCACTGGGCTGTACCAGTCCTTCTGAATTACGTGTATCCAGGCTTGCACACTCTCCACTGCACCCCAGTGTGGCCTCAGCCTGTGGCCCAATGTATGGCCGTGAGCAGCATGGTGGGCAGGGCTGTGAGAAGGGGACCATACTCATGGGACGCTGGGGGCTTGGCTTCATCAGTACCTTTCTATGCCATTTGTCCCTGGCCCTTCCATCCGGCCACTTTTGCTACTACTGGCACATGCTTTTGCATTAGGAGGCTCTTGTCCAGGTGCCCCACTGGCCTCCCCAAGTTCACGGCTAGGATGCTAAACAACACGGTGTCTCAACACTGCTCACGGACAATACATCACGTGTACACCTTGTCTTTTTTTTGTTTATAACTCCTTGAGCAAGGGAGTCATTAGACATGAAACTAAACAAATATACCACGTAGAAAAACCAGCAAGTGAGGAAAGTACATGACATTAAAAGAAAAAAATAGATGTAAGAAAAATGAACATACCACTTTTGGCTATAGTATTGAGGGAAATGTTAGACAGGGAAGAAGAGAAGCTGTATAAGCAAGGACCATGACAGAGCTGTCAGAAAAGAAAAACAAGACAAAACAAAAAAGAGAAAAACATATGGTGATGAAAGAGTCACTGTCAGTGGGTGAGCAAACAAAACCCTCTTGAATACAACAATGGGAAAAATGGCAAATCTCACTGGTGTAAAGCACACAGCACAGTTACAGGAGAGCCTCAAGCTTTCCAACCACAAGATATGTCATTCAGCCACACTTTACAGCATGTGATTTCTTTGAGGGAACACTCTACTCAGAAATAGGGAGTTCATGCATTCATTGCAAGAGGAGTAGAGTTTTCCAAAAAGCCGAGGTGCCTGGAAAACTGGGCTGTCGCTCATAAGGCTGCCCCACAGGGCTGCAAGTGGGAGACTGGTTTTCAGTGTGGACTTTCAAATTCAGATGATTTTAGTTAAACAGGTGAGGATTTTGACTTTTGCTGGATGAACTCTTAACTTTACATATTATGTACAAGTAATTTTGTATTATTCAGTCCTTTCATTTACATGAAGAAAATTCAGAGCTCGCTGATATAAATACAGGTGCGAGTATTTAATAGAACTCACCAAATATTTTATGAGTGCTGAAACTCATGGGCTGCTCATGCCTCATTTATGTTGACCACACATTTTCCATTCTTGTGGGGAACAGTAGTTCACACAAGACATATGGTACTGCCTGTGGCCAAAATAACTTCCATGGGACAGGCGTGACCATTGAGTAACAAATGGTACCCTTAATACTTACTACTTAATATAACAAACAGTGATAAATGTTAGTTATGATAAAATTACTGGAATGCTTGAGGTTCACAAATCTTTATACAACTGAACAGGAAGGGAGCACAACTCACAGAACTGCAACCACCACTGAGCTCGACCCCCACCTTGCATACACCAAGTCTTCAAAGCAATTATACAGCTTTACATCCTGTGAAAAACTAGCTCAATTCCACAATAAGTATAACAATGGGCCAAAAATTCTGGTAAATCCTTATTCTCCTCACATGTGAAGACGAATAATACAGCATGGTCTAATGAGGTGCCAGTTAGACACTTCTGCGAGATGCCGTCACTGATACCAATGGTTAAACAAAGTAACTCTGTACGCAAACAGGGCTTATGTGTGCTATGGGCACCTGGAAATGCAGTGCAACTGCTAGAGAATAAGCATTTCTCAGAAGCAATCTAAGGTGGCCTACACACAAGCATGCAGAAAAATAATTAAGCATGATTTAATTTGCACTTTAGTATGCAAAATCACTCAATATTTAAATTAAAACAGAAAATGTAATTAAAAATATCTGCATAGACACAGCAATACAATAGCTGCAAGTGTGCACTGAAGTCCAGTTCAGTATTTTGGGATGCATTTCATATGCATTCCTTCTGACGCTGCTAACAGCTGAATACATGGCATGCATTTTGACAGTGTACTTAAATATAAAAAAATAAAAAAGAAATAACTTTTGCTCTGAAAGCTGAATACAAATACAAGCTATAAAGATACCTCCTCCAGTTATAAGCTAGGTCTTAAAAGCAATTTACTGTTTTAATTAAATACATCACAGCTGTAGGATAAAGCGAGCAAAGCATAAAACACTAGTTTAACTGATTGTCTTTCTACACCTCTAGACCTTAGTCTGCATTTAGCCTCGTGAGCATTCAACTTTTCAATACACAGCAAGACAGGCAGAAGACAAATCTTTGTTATCACTCAGATTCATTAAATATAATACAGATGGATTTAAAAACAGAGAGGGGGAAAATAAAAAAGAAAAGGAATAAACTGTGTTTTCTTAGTGACTGCTGCACTGCCAGGTCTTCTAGCATTTTGCTCTACAGCTTCATTTGTCACTAGGAGACACAATTAGCCACCCTCATTCAGCCCAACCAGCACCAAAAATAGATGATCTTACCTGTTCATTCATAACTGCAGACAGCTCGCTGAGCATATCCTTATAATGAGACTTCATCTCTCCCTGATATTCAAATTGGTCCTCCTTAATAAGGCGTTCGTTGACATCAAGAGCATGCCCACACGCTTCTGCAAATTGCCTACAAAAACACAAAGAGCAACCACACAAATTTTGTAGTAATGAAAAACCCTATCTATCTATATATACACACACACACTACTGTACCTCTTCTCCTTGCAAGTTACACCTTGTTAGAAGTGAATTTCAGAACTCATCCTCAGACCAAGAGGAACATAGGCTACCAGGATAGCCCAAAACTTCAGTAAATGTTTTCTTGGGAATGAGTTGTAAGATAAGGTAAATGCAGATGTAAATTAGCCTGGTTCAATTCAGCCTGATTTCATGTCACACCTACTCTGCTACTCATACTATGCAGAGGGTAGAAAGTCTAAACTTAATGTTTACCTGAAGATTTCCTTCAGAAGCTTAACTTGATTATCAGGATATCTCTTAGCATTTGTCTCTTCAAGAAAAGCTCGAGCATAGGCCATTGGTCCAGCATTTACCTGGGGGAAAACCGCACAGCTTAGGTGCACAGAACAAGCGGGTTATTGTGAAAACTTTCCATTCCCTTACATTTTTAGAGTGGGCTCCAACAGCACTGGAATACAAGATATGACTAGAAATATAAAATAGACAAAAAAATGTCTGGAATGATGAAAGTCTGAATAAAAATTTTGGTAGATGCATTGTAAAAAAAAAAAAAAAAAAGGCAAATTGTCATTACCTTGACACTGACACTTCCTTGGAGTTTGAGCTGCAGTCGGATCATGTCCACTTCTTCCATTGTGCAAAGCTGATTGAGCTCTGAGACTTTTTTGGACATCTCATCAATCGCTACTTCGATAGGGTTCAGCTCTGTGCTGGTTTGGCTTATTACTTGAATACGCTTCTTCACGTATGGAAACAAGTGACTGGCTACTCGAAAGCAAGAAATGTATCAAAGTCACCCAACTAGAGAGTATTTAGGAAAGCAAAACAATCAAGTCAAAGTATTAACTTTTGACTTTGTCAGTCTCTTTGTCAATCCATACAAATTAAGTTTTAATCACCAAATGAATGAAAGTGACCCAGCAGGTCCAAATCGAATTTTTATGTACCTGGCACTGGAAGAGCATTTCCTTTTGAATTCACCACTGTTTGCTACTGAGCTCTGTCACATCCACATGGCCAAAACCCTCTCACTGCTCAGATTTTAGAATCCACAAATTTCTTCTTTTGAGTTAAAGCACCAAATGATAAGCCTGTACCAAACTTCAAATGGCTCAAAACCTCCCATCTAACATGTTTCTAGTTAGAGGCAGGAGCCTCCAGTTTAGCGGAATTGGGTATCACTCACCCACAGATGAACTACTATTAAAACATCATCAAAGAAGTAAGGAGTTACTCTTAGTATTTAACCTAAATACTGCTATAGGAGCTGACAGAGGAATTATTCACCGTTAAAACCCTTCCTTCCAGTCAAGGCCTTTTCACGGATCTCAGGGAGTCTGGCAAAGGTACTGTTATGGTGCATTAGGCCTGATCTAAGCTAACAATCTTTTCCTGATCGCTCTACGCGCTTTGGAAGGCCTCCCAAATGCAGTGTATGCCCTCCTCCGGTGAGCATCTGCTGCCAGTCAGCTGAGACCTAAATGAGCTCCAGCTTACAGGGTAGCTGTCTCCTTTGAGAGCAGGACACCCAGGACTTCCAGAGCTGGAACCATGAGTCACAACCAGGCACGGCAGAGAGCCAGGGATCCACAGACTGCTGCCAGACTGCACTTGTCCTCTGCGCAGCGCAGGCAGCAGGCTCTGGAGCAGAGACGCTGAGCAGGTACCATTCCAGCCACCCAGTACCTCTGCCCAAGCACAATTAATTTCCACTGCTCCTCCAGTCATACCGGTAAGCCTTGCTTTCTTCTCAAACTAAAAGCACTTCTTTTTATGTACAAAGCAAATGAAAATATATGACTTTATCAAAGGGCAGGGGGGTGAGGGGGAAAAGACAGATGTTTCCTTTAGAGAAAAGCACTGAGGTGAGGCAGGTGCCAGAGGGAAAAAGCAAGGGAAAAGAGGTGGTCATCAAATTCCCACCTAACGCTGAAGATGGAGCCAGGCTGAGAGTGGTGGGAGCTGACGACAGCATGTAATAACCTAGGGAAAATATTCTGATGGAAGAACAACCCTCTCTGTTTTTGCCAGACACACCGTAACAGCTGCACTTTCAAGTCAGTGAAACTACCTGCTTCAATACACATCTCAAAACACCTACTGCTGCTCAAGCACTTAAGAAAACCACACACAAGCTACTCCCCCTTTCTTCTTCTTACACGCAAAGCTGTGTCATGTAACGAGATGCCCTCAGACATCAGTGCCTCTTTCCTGACTTGCCAGAACAAAACTTAAGTGACTATGCCTGTGCTGTAAGCAGCTTTCTTCACTTTGCCCTTTGGGGGAAGCACTGAAGTTGCTAGGGAACTGGATTTTCTGTCACTCAGGAGCCTTTGCTGTGAACATCAGCCTCTCTGCCCACGAGAACAACGCCTTCATCTCAGACAGTTTCTCATATTCCCAGCCAAAATTCAGACAGGTCAAGTTTCAGTAGCAGTTTCACCAAGGATGCCTCTTTGAAAAGAGATTTCAATCATGATAAGAAACTAAATATTTTCTGTTCAATATGACTCAGTAAGAACAGACATATCTAGCGCTCCTGACATTCTCGTCTTAAAACGCTGATTGTGCCCAACGAGATGAAATCTTACCTCTCACTTTAAAAAAGTCTATATAGTGTGTCTTACTCCCATTTTGAACAAAAACTCCTACCTGCTAAGTTTTACTCTTCTTAGCAGAATAGGCACCGTACTTCACTGTTTCTTTGACTTGTTTATTATTAAAAGAACAACGGTTCTGTGTGCTAAGCTGCCTCCAGCAGAACCACTCCCAAATTACATCACTGCAAGAACAGTTAAGATGTCAATAATAAGGAAAAATAAGACAGCTGATGACTCCACAAATGAAAATAACTTTCCCTAGGACAGTCAGCAGGACTGTAAGAAAGCACATACTTTGCCAACAGACACACTGAAAAGATGACTTATCATTCTGCACACACGCTGTGCCCACTGACTGCAGAAAACCTGGCACGGGGAACACACGGTTTGGCTTAACTGGCAAAGGGGGGAGAGGAGGGGAAAGCAGCCTGAGCAAACGTACTTGTCAGGATTGTGCGCCTCTTGCACTGCTCTTCTACACCTCCGTGCTTTTTTCCTGAGAGTGTGAAAGGTGTTTCAAACACAAAACGATTGATGTTGTGATGCATTTCAAAGTCGGTCTTTCGATCTTCAGCTTCCTTCTCTTCAAAGAAAGGTGTGACATACGTCACCTGGATATAAGCATATTTTGGATCCAGGTCTTTGGGGTTCACCTGTGTAACAGTGGCAAACATAATAAAACTCTGTTAAGTGTGATGAGCTTCCAAGGCATCCATTATATTTCTGATGCTTTTAGCTTTCATAGCAATACCGATTAAAACTGAGACTTCCAAATGTAATATTCAGACCACAGATTAATAGTAAGATATTTAACCAAGACGCCCCTAAGAACAGTGGGATTTTTGAATATAGCCATTGGCAAAAGTGGATGAAAGCTAGTGAGAGAAAATAACCTGCTTCCGCACTGCAGTAAACACCTGCATGCTCTCTGGAGGCATATACAGTGCCATGCTATAAGGAGAGGGTCTTTGGTTGTAAAACTAGGCCATAGTAGTTTACACATACACTCAGTTCACATTCATTCAAAACACAGCTCTCAAAACATGAACCACACACTCACTTCTCCTCGCACAAGAACCGCACGCCTTTTGTACCTTGTTGGAATCCTGGATGATCTTCACGTTATCTATTCCAAACTTGTCTGCATAAAGTTTCATCAGTCTTTGTGAGATCTCAGACAAGCCGGTTAATTTGGGTTCTTTGTAGATATACTCTTTACCTTCCTCCTCTTCAAAAAATCCCTGTTTGGAAAGAAATGGAAGGATACAATGAACACAACAGGCAGGGCAAAGCCTACGCCGAGGTGCTTACATCAGGAACCAAGCTTGCCTGTATACCCACCAGAGCATCCTGTATGTCATTCCCAGTGCCTGAGTTAAAAGCTTACCTCTCTGCGCTCCTAGCAGACACATACCTCGAGGTCTGCATTTATACTGATCTGGTGTCTCTGAGGTTACCCAGGAAATAACTCGTACACATGTATTCATGGAAAAGATCTAGCTGTCTAAAGAGTTAAAGTACTTGCTTGAGAATGCTGGTGTGTGTATGATGAAAAAACCCTAATGAATTAAAAATTGGACATTAAAAATTCTTTAAGCTTTAATCATTTGGTTAAACTATTTTGGAAGCACTATGCTAACAGAACATGAGTGTAACAGCTGTTTGCTGGGTGCCCAGCTGGGGTGCGCGCAGCATGCCACCTCCAGCACATCCTAGCTGGGAGCCACGTGTGCAAGCAGAGGCTGGGCACCGCGCAGGGCTCTGCTGCCCGTGGCGATGTGCAGGGCCACTGCGAACCAGTCTGCATCTCTTCAGAGCAGTTGAAGAGGAACTCTGGTGGCATCTTGAAAGGCCGTATGGATTTGCAGCATTTTCAGAGACAATTAGTAAATGAGTTATATTTGAAAAAAAAAAAAAAAAGAAAAAAAAAAGAGCACACAGACTGTCCTCCTTTGCAAAAAAGCTCAACCTTGTTAAGGTCATTTACTTATTACACTGGATGGACTTGGCAGAGCTTTAATAAAAGGCTCCATTGAAAAGCTATCAGGCTTCAGAAGAAATGCCGACCTCAGAAAATTAACCCAGCATTGCATCACATGCAGGTGAGACACTCAACCGCTACATGATGAACATGTACATCAACACTCCAGGAGAAGCTCTCCCAGCTGAGCAGAAAGCAGCAGGTGCCCCATTAACAAGGGCTGGATTTATCCCAACACCATGAGCAGCACCAGCCCTCCTCCTAGGATTTCATATGCTGCTGCTGAAATCTGGCAGCATTAACCACTGCAGCTGTACCCAAAGTCTCTTCCTTTCACCTTAACACAAAGTGACCCAGAGGAAAATACCTGAAGCTGCAAGGATGAAGGGGAAAGGAAGAGAGCATTAATGATGTCAGACCCAAGGCCCTTTAAAATTAACACGATGTGGCTTGGACAGCTAATTCTACAATATGCCTAGGCAAACTGTCATCTATTGAAAAAGAGAGAAGTACAAATGAAGTATCTCTTAAATGAAGTCGAGATACCTCCAAAATCTCTTTGGAAGGTACAGGTACTCTTGCAAAAACCAGCCTTTTCATGTTGAGGCACATTTCAACTCTGGCTGCTAAAATTATAAACTAAGCAAATCTTCACAGAAAAATATACAGAACTAAAATAAACTAGCTATAAATTTCAATGTAAAATAAATAATAAAAAAATAAACCCTAAGCTTTATTTCAACAGAGATTAACAAATATGTGCATCTCTGGCTTGTCCTTCAGTGAGGACAAGGGGCAATAAAATTGTCTTTTAATTTGGAAAGTGCCAACAGCAACGTGGGCATTACTGGAAACCAATGACTAATTGCAGCAACAGCAGCTTGTCTGATAGTGTCTTCATCAGTCTCATGGTGACCTTCTAACATTGCACAATTTTTAACGATATTATCAATTAAACTCCACAGACATATGAAAAACTTCACAGGTAATTAGAGAACAAATCTAGAGCTCAAAAGTTGACACTCTATAACCATTTACTGAGCTGGGCAAGCAATTGACTTTCTATTGATTTCCCTGAGAATAGATCTGCAGATCATAACATGGTTTCTGATCTTGTTTCCACTGAAGTAAAACTCCTTTATGTGGGAAAACCTCATTAGTCTCATGCAACCATACTCAAACATGCTACTCAGGATTGCTTCTGTCAAAAAACATCTGTTTTCTGTTACTATTCCATGTTTTCAACAAAAAGCTTCATGTTTTCCAAATTTATCACATAGCAAACTAGAATATAGTTTATCCTCTTAAACACTGATCCTGTGTACGTTTGCATGCTGGAGTACAGTGTTTATATGTAAGTGCCAAATCTCTGTGCTGATGCTGCACGGCACATGAAGATGATATCTATATTAATGCTTTTGCTTAAAAAAAACCCCAAACCACACCTGAAAACAAACAACTAACAGATTTAGTCTTGTCTCTAATGCAAGAGACATCATTTAAGTACATATTCCCTACAGTATTTCAGCTGACAAGTGACAAGCAGAAGCTAATTGTGAGCTATAAATACTTGTGTCTGCCATATGCTATATGTCTGGCAATGACTATTGAAAGCAAGATTAAATCCTTTTTAGGAGCCAAATATCCTCCAATTTCAGGACTTCAAAATACTAAGCAGCCAAGGTCGCATTATCAATGCATATCCCTAGATTATTTTTATACTGGTTTGTTTTGCCTTAAAAGAACAATGCAGCCTTACAGATGAAAATTATTACACGGAGCAGCTGAATGTAATGGAAGGGAGACAGCCTCCTGGACAGGAGGTCATTAGTTTCCACTGAGCTCTGATGTGCTGAGAGTCAAGCTGTGACCTGGGATTGTCACCGTGGGAGCGCTGAAAAGGCCCTTCTTCCTCCCCGTACGCCCTCAGTCACAGCCCTGGGAGCTCACAGTGACTGACTCTTCTCTGCCCTTTGCTGGAAAAATATACTCGGTCCTCACAGCTGATGTGCCGAGGCAAAGCCTTCTGCTTTACCTGCCAAGAATTAGCATTTAGTGGATCCTTCCCTGTCTTTATCGAGTGAGCATCACCTCCTAAGGCAGGTGAGCATGTTGCACTCTTTGGTAAGGAAGCTAGAGCTGGTTTATCACATTTGGAAAAGGGGACACGTCTTCTGATCTTCAGACGTAAAGCCGCAGTCTGCTTACTGCTATGAAAATCTGCCCTCCAACTTCTACAGCTTCTTGCACAAAACCTCAGCTCTACCTTTACCTAATACTGCTCTGAAAACAAGTCTTGAACATTTTTGTTTATCAGCACGAGTTTTCAGCTATTTAACGGCTTTTTTTTTTTTTTTTAATTCAAGAAAGACTTTGACTTCTCAAAACACTGATCTGCAGATAAAATCGGAAGCACTGGCTAGTGTGGCCACTTGGTGGTGCAATGAGATGTTGTCACCACGGGCCCTTAACAGAATTTGCAGTCTAAAACAGCAGCTGCCATGAGATCCGGCTCTCTGAGCTGGCAAATAAAGCTCTCTGGTGAAAACAACCGACTACATCCTCCCTACGGACTACGTTAATTCAAACCATCCTTCCAGAGGGTCCCTGCAGCAATGCAATAACCAAATACTGTCTCTGCCTCTGCATGAAGAACAATGGTTTTCAGGTGCAGCTGCAGATTTTCTTTTTCCACTCAGAACCCCCAAAATTCTCCCTGCAAACAATATTTGCAGTATTCTTTTGTCCTTTAACCTGATTTCTCTGCAGTTTTTGTTTCAGTTAAGGAACAGCAGTGTTCCATTTTTGCAAAACATATATGTATACGTTATTGGTACAATTGATAAAAATGTGTAATGAATAAATGCATATGTGTAAAAATACATTTTTATATGTGCATGCTTAAGTATGTATCTACTCATAGGTATATGATATCACAGTGTACGTATAAGACTGAAAAGGAATCCCATACCTGCATACCAAGTTTCTTTCTGTGGCATTTCTGTTGCAGCGGCCTAGGCAGACCGATTCGTATTGCTTTACACCAGTTTAACTGGGTAATACTAGTAAAACCTGCAGCCTTTACCTTTTGGGAGGAAGGGTGCAAAGACTGCTAGAAGCACAAAAAAAGGGAATTGCTTTTAATGTTTTAAATGAATTGGGCACTGAGACAGCTTTCAGCATGGAGGCCTGCTCTTGGCAACAGAAGGACCAAAAGGCCCCCTACCTTTCCGCATGCACAGCCAAAATGGAACCAAGTGGCACACGGGAAAAATGGACGGGCCAAAATTCAGAACAGAAACCTTCCAAAGGGAAAATATGCAGGCACAACTGGTATATGGGAACAGACTGTTCTCTCTGTCTCTCCATCCAGGTCAAGCTTCATCTGTAGCTCCCACGCCTGCCATGGTGCCTGTGTACTGGTAAGCCCTCCTTAATCAGTTCTGCACACCCACTCCTATTTTCCTTGGTAAATGAGGCACAAGTAACACTGATGGGAATGATCTACCTTTAATTATCCGCTCTGTGCCACAAGTTTTTGTCACTATGCCTCTGCAAGGACCAGTACAGAGCAGTCCCACTTTCTACCCCGTAACATCTCTTCTGCCAGAGGAGAGGAGGAAGCTGTGCTCATTCACATTTAGAGCTCAGTGTCCAGGGGCACCAGGGGACCGACCGAGCAATACGCAGCTACGAAAAAATCATATGCTTTAGAGCACTAAAGCTGTTTAAATGAAGCTGTCCTTGTGGCACTGGCAGCTGAAAAGTCATTGCACTGTAACAGAGATTTTTAACCCAGTTTAGCAGAACTGCTGCAGGTAAATTACCCAGTTAGAAGCAGCTGCCTCTGGGAGAGCCCTGGCAAGAAGCTGCAAGTGGGAGAGTCCTAATTCCCCCTCTGCTGTCCCCGTTTTGAGAAAGGACTCGCCATTGCCCCGACTCCCACTTTGCTTGCTCCTACAGGGACTACCAGGCAGGTGGCTGCACCCTGCCCAGAGCGCTCCAGTTACCACTGCCATGCAGCCGAGGCTGCACAGGCCAGGAAAGCAGGCTTGCATTCAAACAGCATTAATGCTACACTGAGTTTTTCAACAGAGGAAGAAGGGGTCCCGTCCCACTCCCAGTGAAGCTGAAAAACTTTCACTGAGATGAGATGATGCAGCATTGGGCCCCACGGTGCACACACAACATGGCGACAGATACAGCTTGGTAATTCAGGTAACTGAACAAACAAAAATTAGTTTGCAGGATGCAGCAATGAATGAAACGACGTTATTTCATCTGCCACAAACCAAAGAATCGAGAGCACAGGAAAGTTAATGTTAAGTAACAGTACAGGGAAGGATGGAGGACATGTGAGGAGAATTAAACAAAACATGCAAAAGAACTAGACTTACCACAGCCTTGAATAAGATCAAAAGGAGAAAAGAGCAAATTTCTGCATTAAAATCTAATTAGCAAACAGAATGATTCACATCAATCTGTTGTTTACACACCTTATTATTCTAGAGTAAAGGAGATTGTGCGCTTGCCAAAACCAGGTCTTAAAAGAACATGCTGGATTGCTACACTGGTTTGTAGTGGAAGAAAGCACGAAATAATGCTTTGAGGATGCTGAAGCACAGCAGAGGAAATAAAACTACTCTACAGTATATTGCACAGAATCAGAGGTGGCCTGAAAGCAGAAGTCAGGGTCAGCGAGAAACACAACAAAACATCTACTGCATACTGCTGTGCTTTAAGCTCTGTTTGAAGAGAGGCCATACAACAAAGATGTCTTATCTGGTTTTATTTAAATTTTACTCTGAAAAACCCCGCCCTGCCCCAGTCTCAGTTTTGCTTGATGAAGTCAAGAACTAAAGCTGACGTACAGATCTGTCTCCATTACACCACTAAATCCATAGCAGCAGTTTACACAGATGCAACTGAGTGCTCTCTCTTCTGAGTACAATCCTCTTTGGAGTATGACCCACGAGGCACTTTCTACCCCATGATTCACTGCCACGTGTCTCCCTATTTTAGCTTCCCTGAAATACATCAGGGTAAGAAGAACGTGGCTGAAATCTGGAATCTGTGGAGACAAAAGACCACAAGTTGACTTACCTGCCCATAAAATGCAACACGGTAATATCGCCCAAAGAGACGTTTCTCGGAGTTCACTACTTCTGCAACCTTCAGGTATGAGCGGTGGATGTCGTAGTACAAATCAGACAGTCTCTACATTAAGGAACAAGGAGAGCGAGGGGAAGTGAGAGAGCACGAGTACTTTGGGAAATGACACAAGGGCTCTACGCAAGCATAGCTTGTCTTAACTGGATTACCAAACCTTTGCAAAGATGGCTGCACACGCTAAGATTTAACCTTGTCAGCAGTCACTAAAGATTCATTTCAAGGTTTCTGTCATCTTCTGAGCACAGAGGTTTTTGGCAGTGGGCTGCCTTTGTGTATGGGGCCACACAGGAAGGCGAGCATCTCACCGCTGGGCAGTGGTAGGGACCTACTAAGAGGTCAGAGAACCCAATGTCCTATGTGCAGGTGAAAGCAGGGTGCCAATAACTCCAATCAGCTCCCAACCCCATGCAATGATATGCTATGCACAATTGCCACTAAAAACCACTTTCTCAGGACAGTGAACCAAAATTTTAACTAAGTTTAAATCTGAGGACCTAATTCCTCAGCGTACAGCTTATAGCTACCTACCTCTTTGCTTTTTTTTAATTTTAAACCAGAAAAAGCAGTAAATGAGATTACCATCCGGTTATCCATTATGTATTGAAATTGCCAAATAAATAAGAAATGAAGAAACGTTGGAATTGTGAAGAGATCACATAATTTATCAGTAGTTTCTAAACTTCAATACAACACAAATGTGCTCTTGGTTTAAAAACAGATGTCAAAATTCACATCCACTGGCTAAGACAAGAGGTTTGTTTGAAATTGTTTTGTTCATTTACTGCTGTATTGATGCTGCAAAGAGGAAGGTAGGTGCCAGAGTTTTTCATTTACTCACAGCACAAAGCATTAAAAGGAGAAATTACAGACGGGAAGAAAAAAACCATTCCTTTAAAAGAAAGCAGGTGTTTTTTTTCTCCCTAAAAATTTTGATCTTTGCTGTTGTCTCAAGATAATTAAAAAAAACAAAACAAAACTTACTTTAAAGTCCCTCTGCTTCTCAAAAACAGCAATGATAGGCTTGTTAACCTCAGCAATAAGCTCATATCTCTCAGACTTCCACAGGTATTCAACACACAACTCCAGCTGCTCCACAAGAATATTCTGCAATTCCACAAATACAAATAGTTCAGTGACTCAACAGCTGGTGGCATTTAATTAATAGCAGTGCAGCAAAAGGACATACCACTATTTAATTTTTGTTCTGTATCTTCTATATTAAAATTTATTTAAATGACACAATGTTTAATCAGGTACTGGTGACATAGCTCTTATTTAGATAAAAAAACCTGAAATAACAGTGACATGAAAATACTTGAATACTTGACATCTCATTCAGAAGAACAGGTTTGCTTCATGGGCTCCCCCCGCCCTAACTTCCAGCTCTGGTACCAAATGTTCTGGTTAGCTAAACATTTACTATTTAGTACAACAGCTATGACATTTCACTCCAAAGCTGTGCACCTTTTAATGCTGCCTGAAGTACACTCTCGCTATAATTTGTTGTAACATGCACAGGCATCCATTAGAAATAACATTCTCTGTTAATATAGAACAAGTATATAAATGTTAATGCTGCTGACCTCATTATAGGGAGTGTCTTGCATCCCAGAGTCTTCCTTCATAGCACCTTCTTCTTTAATGTTGGGGGTAATGCTCAGAAAAGCAGGCCATCCCATGGAAAATAAGCCTTGAAGTGCAAGTCATAACAATATCAATTAATGACTGAATAACCAGATAATTCAAAAAGTTACTGGATACCATTAAAACAGAGGTTTTATTTGACTGGATTAGTTACTTTTTTCACAGCCCAAGTGATGAGAAGCACAAGTGGACCTGACTGAATTTATGAGACTATTACACATTTTCTCTATGATATAAATCCACTTCTCCAGGCAAAGGGTAACTATAACATTTTCCTAAGGCAATCTTATTCCTCTCTTTGGCATTTCGGTTCCTTAGCCATACAGCGCTGGCAGTCCTCGTAAAACTACACGTGCAACACTCATCTATACAGGAATTACCATCGCAGGCTGAGGCGAGACAATTTATACTCATGAAACCAGTGCTGTGACTCCTGGCCTGACCTACAGACACTTAATGCTACATGGTGGGACCTGCAGTTGTCCCACCTGTCAGGTTTCCTAAGCAAGAGGGGCACAGTCGCCCCAAGCTCACGGCAGCCGATGGGGAGACGGCCGCTCCAGAGCGCAGTGCGCCTTTGCTGGGCTCGAGGACACCCTGGCAGCAGCTCTCCTTACCCTGCCCAGGGTCAGCAGGGTGACTGCAGCCCTAACCGAGGAACTCTCTTGTAGAAAGCTCAGGCTGGTGGCAGAAGCTGCTGATGGGAAGGCTCACAAGGATTAAAACCGAGCTCACATTTAATATTTGCTAAGCTGGGGCCTTAGTGCAATGTTTGCAGAAAGAACAACTTACACAGGCATTGCACATTACAGATCAGGCAGAGTCTGACCTGCAAACATTTTACTACCACTCTTGAAGGGTGAAGGTAAACCTGCCAGTGGAGGCAATGAACTCCTGACACAGTTCACGTTCAATTTAAAAGTAGGAAAATGCTAGTAACGCACAATTAAAAAGCTTTTACACATTGAGACAGAGGGGCTCCTTCCCGTCTGTCAAGTTTTGAAAATCATTTAAACATAGGTTTAAAAGTTCTTCACTCCACCTACTGTGATGTTATTCATGCAAAGTATTTTCCCACTAGTGAACCATCTCCAAAATAGTGCTCTTCACAGACAGCTTCCTTCTAAAAGGATGCATTTTTTCATCTCACTACACAGACTTCCCAGTGTACAGGAGAACCATGGTCTTTCCAAAACAGTTTTCTCTGCCCCAGATATTTGCCCTTGCCCCCAGAAATTGCTCTTGTGAAAATTGCTAAAATATCTCATGCTGAGAATTACTTTGAAATGCATATTTCATGAACTAAATAACCACTGGCATAGGAGTACTTAATAATATAAGCCTGCACTTTATTTCTCTATAATAAGCACCACAGATTAAAAAAAAAATCTTTACCTATACTAAGTTACATATGGATAACCAGATATTAATTCCACCCCCGTGCCCTCCCAGCTTTGGCTAGTCAAGGAACGGGACGTGGATTTGCATGCTAAACACCAATTGACCTGAGCGGGATTGCTGCTGCTGCTGAAGAGCAGACTGCTCTCTTGCTGAAAAAGCCCTTAACCAGCGACATTCGAGCAATTCATCAAACCAGCCAAAGAGCATCAGGAAAGTAACATATAATGTTTCCAACATCACTTGCTTGCTGTTACAGCCATCAACATGCACTATAAATATTTTCCATTTGGTAGATATTTTTCCAGATCAACTGGAGAACAGTAATTTGATTCCCTAATTATGTTATTTGACCCATAAACAGGCACGGTTAGAGCACTCACTTCCTCCATTGTGAGTTGTTAGTAACACATTACTATCAGAGACTTGACCATCTTCCAGGAGCATACGTGAGGTACAAATCTTTTCCATTTTCCAGTAACCTATGATAGTGTAAGATGGTATTAGTACACCGCTACTGGTATGTGTTAATACATGCATATTTAATAACAACAGACTAACAAGTGAAGCATTCTCTTTTAGCACTAGCTTACTGAACATTTAATTAACCCTCTTTACAAAAAACACACGCTTTTACTGTTCCAGAGCTAAGACTAGCATTTATGATATATTTTAAAAATAAAATATTTGGGAAGAATTCAAGCAGCTTTAAGTATGCTTTATATACAAGGAAGGAAAGCAGGACAGCCCAAAATTGTTTTCAGCCATAATGTTTACAGATACATAGCTTGTTTTGAATACGTTGATCTTACCCTTTCTTTTCAGGTATTCCGCAATGAGAGCAGCGATATGAATGTAGCACATAGCAGCCTGTAACGAGAGACCAAGATACATGTATACGTAAAAGTACACTGTATGACTTACAGCATACATGTGATACGGAGCACATACTTTCATCACTGTCAAGTCATGCTGCAGAAAAGGGAAGACAAACTTAATATAACCATTTAAGAAAATAAAGGATTAAGTGATGAAATCCTTCTTGAGCTTTAATTTCACTAGGTGTCTTAGGTAAAGACAGATTTGCTCAAGAAAACCATTAACATTACTTAGTAAATAAGATATTCCTGGGTTATGCACTGGAGTTTTGCATCACCCATTTAATTTTTGATGAGAAGGGCAATGTGTTATAAACAAAGCTCCTCTCCTATGCAGCAGTGGGGGAGAAGAAAATCCTTTATGTAAGTTATGCACTGCTCATAATCTCATCTACACTACGCCTCCTGTGCCTGTTAGGGTTAAGCAGCGGAGATGCTAACGCGATATGACCACAGCTTCCCCGTCAGACATTTTCAAGTCTTGCTGAAGCATGTATCGAGTAGTCATGATTAGGCAAACTGGGATAATGAGCATGTCACATCTGTAGGTGTTTTTCAAATCTGTCATCCTCTAATTTCAAATATAGGAGAGACACTGTATGATTCTCTTAAATCACTGCTGTTGTCTGTCTGTCAGAGCCCTTTTCATCAGAACATCTCAGCCTAGACAAGCGGATTTCCTATATATCTATTTACGTTACCTCTGAGTAGTCATGATTAGGCAAACTGGGATAATGAGCATGTCACATCTGTAGGTGTTTTTCAAATCTGTCATCCTCTAATTTCAAATATAGGAGAGACACTGTATGATTCTCTTAAATCACTGCTGTTGTCTGTCTGTCAGAGCCCTTTTCATCAGAACATCTCAGCCTAAAGACAAGCGGATTTCCTGTATATCTATTTACATTACCTCTGATAAATCTCCATTTCTTGCATGAATCTTGGCCATGCTTTCAAGCCACGTCCTACGTAATTCAGGTGTGCTGGCATATGAATTTGCTAGGCTGTACTGCAGATCCACGAGCATCTCAGGGTCTTTCTCATGCTCCTTCATCTGAGCTGTGGCCATTAAAACTGTTCTGATGCGTTTGGTCAGATCCTTCACCTCTGCTGGGAAATTAACGTTCTTTGGGAAAGATAAGCAATGCATCACTAAAACCATCCAAAGAGCCACATGCAGCACCCCTGAACCAGCTGAAGTCCTGCTTATTGAAGACCTTTCCCCCTTCTCTAATTCTAGGCTTTGAAGCAGAGTCACAGTTCCACGGTACGTACACATTGTATACAAATCCTTGACGTTTACTGACGTGTCATAGCACCTACTAGACGTCCCAGTCAGGCAGCTGCACCCCTGTGTCTGCAGCAACTCCGCTGAAGTCAGCAAACTGAAACATTTGTTCCTCGGTTGCTTACTGGATCCAGAAGTGGATTCTCGTACACTTTCAGCTGACAAACAGCACCGTGCACTATAGATAGTCCTGCTTAACTACACTCACAGCATGTTTCACCGCAGTGAATAAAGCACAACAATCTGGCTCCTGGCCTTCTCACACTGTGGAAGATTAGAACCGAGTCCTTGTATTACTCATATCAGCTGTTCTCAACACATTTAACGCAGGTCTGCAGTTTCTCTTTTTCAGATGGGAAATGAAATACATTTCTATTTTCAGACTTTTTTTCCCCTCGTTCTCTTTGTTTAAAAGTAAAAACATCCTGAAAATTCCTCCTCTATGTCACACAGAGATGAGTGTATCACAGAAGCAGTGTGACTGACTGCAGTGCTGGGAAATCAAAGCTAGACTTTGGAAACAAATACAATTGTAACTGCATCTTATTTAATAAGATATCAAAATACTTGTGCTGATTATCTACCAATTTGCTTATGCCAACTTTATTATTAACCTCAGTGGAGATACCCTAAAGTCACCTTCAGAGAAGGAGAAACACCTCCAAAGTACAAAATTCATGTTGATAAATGTTTGGACAGGAATTGTAAAAATTAAAAATTGGAATCCTTTTCCGATACCTTTAGTGCAGACAATGAATATAATAGCAATGGTAACTAATCTAAAAGCTAAGTGCCTTTTTCAGGGGATTAGCAAGCTGTTGCAAAACCCAACTGTTGTGCATGGTTTTGCTACACATTTACTGAACAGGGACAGTTTGTAGACTAAAAATCGTTTGTCAATGCAATTGTGTTACATTAGCCACAATGCATGATATCTTCTCTGACATGAGGCAAATGAATAAAATAAGCAGTGAATAACAAATAACAGTTTTCAAGTAAAAAACCTCTCTTTGTTTTAAAAATTATTTTCAATTATTAAGTTTCTGAGTCACAAACATTTTTATGAATTTCAGACTGCCTGAAAAAGGCACACTGTGAATGCATAAATCACTGTCAAGCCAGCAATTTTATGCACTGGAACACTTGCTCCTCTGAAATTGTTGACCTTTTGCAAGAGGTAGTGATCGACAAAAAATGTTTCTTACTTTCATCTGCTTGTCTCCATTGGCAAAATTATTTATAATTGCAAGTGAATGTTGAAAACGAGATCCGCCAATCCCTGCATCTGCTATCAGCTGGCTCACTGCTTTGATGAGCTGTATGGGGGGCAAACACAGGGTGCAATTAGCAAAGAAATCAGTTTTTGAACAGTTTTTAATCCCTATTTTAGTATGACTTGATGTACCAGTCTAGCAGAAATGCACTTTTATACCTGTTTTAAGAAGATAACGTACACAAAGACTGTGAGTAACCTTTCCAATGTCTGTAATTGCTCGCATTTTGCAGCATAAGCGCATTGTTACTGGACTTTATATTTCTGTTACTGTACTATCAGATTCTGTTTAGTTCCTCTATCAGCCATGTTCTGACTGCTGTAAGCAATGCACATAAGTCAAGAATAGCTGTTTATCTGGCTATTTATTGGCTATGCGGCTACATTCACAGCTGCTGTCTCTCCCTGGAATAGAGCCTAGCAGCCCAAGAAGAGCAGAGAATCCAGCCCAATGTCTTCAGACTTGGCAGGAAAATCAAGCTGCCACACAGAATTGCCTGAGTACTCCAAAAGAATTGCTTTGCTACAATGCATAAAAATAATAATGATAAAAACCAATGCACATCGGCTAAATACTCATGATCTCACACTTCACTTACCTGTAGATGGGATCTGACTATTGATTTCTGCTTGTTAAATTCAAAGTTCTTTCTCATGAAAAAATAAAGAAGAGCAGATGCCTCTGTCTGAGTCGAACGTGACCTATGGTTACAGCACTTCAGGATTTCATAGCAGAGTGAACCGCAGAGATCTGCTTGTCCTTGGAAGAATGCTGATGGGAACTATTGAAAAAAATGTGTGAATACGTTTAGCACTACACTCAGGCCTTGGTGGAGTTATTCTGAGTCAATGCTTTTTTCTGTTAAGCTTTTAATAAAAAACTCCCTCTCTCCATATTCATTCACAGCAAGGTTTAGTGAAAAAATTAGCCACCGGCTAAACATAATCCCATGTGCAAATTAAGATTAAGTAAAAACTTCACACAAGTTTTCATACAAACACTGTACGCAATGCAACTGTCAAACTGGCCTCCGGGAAGTCCAGACAGCAGCTGGCACACAGCAAGCGTGAAAGTAGAGCAGCCTATCTGCAAGGAATGCAGAACAGCTAACCAGGAAAAGCCTGTGTGGAGTTCTGCACTACTGTAAAAGCTGTTCAGGAGAAAGAAAATACTTTGAGTAGCAAAGTCAGAGAACTTCCAGTTGTCAAGGGTTTGAACAGCAGGAGACAACAGAGAGTGAAGGATGGCTCTCCAGACCATACCTACTATTTATTAGCTGGGTGAATGTAACAGAAGACAGACCGAGGAGAGGCAGAAGACCGTACATATTGACTGCAGATCTCAAGTACCACCCGAGAGGTTCTGCTGCAGGAACCATGACTGATCCCTGTTCCCACAGAACTACGAAGAGAGAATTCAATCCCGACAGCTACAGCATGAATGAAAAGGGCGATCCTGGATATTTATTTGTCCTCCCCATTGCACAGAGTTCTTCGGTTCCTGACTGCCTGGTATGTAATTTAAAGCTGTCTGTGGATGGTCTACTTTATATTTTCCCCATGTCCTCAAGCTACGTTACTGGAAGAAGCATGATTTCCTTCTTCTTCCCCTTGAGATAACAACCAGGAGGAGGCCACATGGTTTAAACTGATCTACACGGTTGCGTTTCGTAGAAACATCTGGGAGATCAGGCCAGCCTTGTTTATTCTCACTTCCCGATAGCAATTGTTATGTGTGTGCTACATGCTGGTTAGTTTTAAGAGTATCTCATCTAAGTCTATGACTTGGAAATCACACAGCCTTTGCATTTGGCACAAAGTGTCTAATCGCCCACGATCATTTACATACGTGCAATGCGAGCAAGTAAACAGTCTGACACATAAACACGTTTTTGTCCGAAACCTCTTCCATGTTGAAAACGAGGTATTTGTAAAACTGTATTAGTTGGGATGAACTTCTGGTGAAGTGTATGGAATACTCTCCTGCTAGCTCCTCTGTGAGCAGCTGTAACCATTCACTGACCACGGACCTCTGGGGTTTCAAGCTTTCTTCCACAGGTGGGAAAAGCATGAAAGCCAATGACATAGCCAGATACCACAGACCTGGACATTATTTATCTATTTACTTTCAAGTTACACTTTCTTAGTACATTTTTCATTTTCCAAAACAGAACTAATTTTTCAGATATTGTGAACTTCTCACTTTTAATCAGCAATAAATCAGAAGGTCTTTGTCAGGAATGAGCATTAATACAGTGAAAACTCTTTCGAGGTGCCCAACTGTCCTCAAGCTGCACTTGCTGTAACATATTAGTAGGTCAGACTAACAGAATAAAACCAGTTACCTTGCCTACAAACAGCCGTAGGGCAGCAAAGACGTGCTTGAGAGCTGCTGCTGACTGGTTGATTTGCAAAAAGAGCATGTGTGTGTCAAACACTTTCTTCATCAATGCATTCTGGCAATCAGATTGCTGGAGCTGCCTCTGAAAAATTCACAGACAAGACAGGACATTCTGGTTATTAAAGTGAATAAACAGAAGAAGGATCTGCTGGACTTTACATCAGAGTTTTCCTAAGGAGATGGTTTTCTCAATGTAAAATCTCTGTGGATGAGGCATTCCCAGCTGCAGACTCTTTTTCATAGAATCACAGAATCATAGAGAGATTCATAGACTCTGAGAGACAGAGAGGTCATCTGGGCCAATATTCATAGAGCAATTTTTAAAGAGACAGAGGATCCACCTGCTGACTTGGAGTGATATAGATGATAAACAGTTCAGAAATCTTTTGTCTAAAATCTCTGAAACCTAGTGGGGTAAGTGTGATTCAGATAATGTGATGTATTAGTAGATGCATGACACTTTCATGCAGAGCAGGGTTGTACATAGCCCTGGATACGGAGGATGCTCTCCTTCCACATCCTTCTATTCAGTTTAGGTACTGTAAGTCAATTCCTTCATAAAATACCTCAGCTTCATTGAGGACTGGCATATCTTATTTCCCTACCCTGCTGTCTCAGGCATTTCAAGTTTTCTGTGTACAAACCTGGTGATTCAGAGTGTAAAGACACAACAGGTCAAGGATTGTGAGGGAAACTTCTGTGGCAATGTTTGCCTCTGTGTCTACGTACTGTACAATGTCCGTTTCACTGGAGCTGCCTGCAACATATACAAAGCAAGATGACAAACAATCTTCTGACCATAGTTAAAGATGATGTAATTCTGCTATCTGGTCATTAAGTCTCAGCACAGTAGAGACGGGTCCTAACTGTGCATTTAACCAAAGGGATATTTTGAGGAAAACTGCTCACAGGAGATCAAAGGGGAGGGAATTTGAGTCAACTTTTACCAGCTCCACCAGTGATGTGAGTATATTCTTTCATTGTTTCTGTTCATCCTCAAATGAGGAGAAAAACCTAATTGGAAAGTGAGATAGATGACTTCAAATCTCATCACTTGAAGAACCTTCTGCCATGAAAAGGTCACTTTTATTGCTAGATGTAATAAATGTAATATTTCAGCCAGTGTACATCTGCTTGTACAGCAAGGTACGTAACCATAGATGGAAGAGATGCTGGGAAGGGGGGAATAACTTGTCATTAAGGCGATTTAAATATGTGACGTTATTGTAATTCATTTTGTTTCTAAATGAACTTTGACCAAATTTAAACTCAGATTTCTTAGTCTCCTGAAAAAAAGGCAGTCAGTAGCTCTATTTATGTTTAGGCTCTTCTCTTCAGGCTGTGTTTCACTGGCACTCATGAAAACAGATTTAATTGTACAGAGCCTGACCCAAACCCCACAGAATTCCAGAGGGAAGTAAATAATTTTTGTACTTACTTGCTGTATTGCTGTCTATCATCTGCAGGAGTTTGGGGTTAGAAAGTGCATTTTTGCCACGGATTATTGGTAATGTTTGAGATCTGTGATGCTTGTGGCCATCATGACTAGAAGTAGAATGCATCCTGAAATTGAAAGGTACCATTAAAAAACAGAAACAAAGAATAAACTATCATGCCTATACAGAACTGTTCCATGTCATTTAGTCTTTGAGAAGTACTGCAGAAAATTCTAAGTTAAACAAACTGATGCAAAATTTTTTAGAGAAACAAAGATGCAGAAGAAAGCGAGGTGGACAAAACAAACAGATGTGCTCTGATTTCTTGAGATCACAGGAGACAAAACACTCATTAAGCACTGAAAAAAAGCATCAGCTTTAATAGCTGGCTGATGTTTAAAAAACTGCCTTTGGGCAAAGAGAAACTGAGATGAGTTCTATTAATGCAGAATAGAAGAAAAATGTACCCTGCTCATGAAAGAACTAATACAGCTTCTATGAGAGGAAAAAAATGGTGACAAACTGACAATGACAGTAACAATATGCACACGTGTGTGTTCTTTTAACCCTCTGATGCTGACAAACACATTAATTTATAATAAGAAGCTTAGAACTAAACTACCAATGCTTATCATAATTTTTGAAAGGATTTTGAATTTGTAAGCACTATAGAATTCAGCAAGACTTAACATCTCTCAAAATTCAGGTCACTTATTAAAATATACTTTTACTTCATTTCTTTTAAAAAAAATGTAGCTACCTAATTTAAAAATATTCTAAGACAGAATTATTTCCTACACCTAGCTAAACCGTCTTTTGTATTGGTTATTTTTACAAAAAATATTTATTAAATTAACATTTCAGATTTAAAAAAAGAAAAAAGTTCCCAACACAGGTACAGATGTCCAGACTTTTGCCAATCAGTATGATAAAATCTTCCATTAATGGTCACAGTGGAAGGATTTGGGTGGACATCCTGGCAAACTAATGGATTTGGAACATGTGGAAATTTGATCTCAAGGGTTTTTTTGTGGTTTTTCATTGTTTTTTGGGGGAGGTGTGTGAGGAAAGTCTGGTTTCATATGAACGTTTCAGCAAACTGAAATACATAAATGTAAGTGCAAGTTAGAGCTGATCACCAGGAATATTTCAGCTCTCAACTCATCATCAAAAAATGCTCTGTATTACAACAGGCCAAACAAATAGCCATTTGGACAACAAATGCTCATCTGTGAGGGGATAAAGTGTGCAGACCCTGGAGACAGCAGACAGGTGACTTTATTTTCTGGATTGCCACCATGTTGGTTCATCTGCAAATATGCAACAAAACAACAGTCTCCCAAAGGCTGCTTGCCAGTTCCAGCCGGGGTAGTGAAATCAGTGCTGCTTCCTGAAAACTGCACAGCAGAGGAACAAAGAAAGAAGTATGGCAGAGAAAGCATTTTTTTTCCTCCTTTGTCCCATTCCAAGATACATGTTTGTAATGGTGAGCATATTCTAGCTATACGTAAATGAGAAAAGTCCACGATCCAAGCTCATGAGGAAGGGGGACTTTCTCACCATGCTCTTAGATACAACCACAAGTTTCACAGAGTCAAAAGTTTGCTTTCTCCCTAGAGTTTTACATTATTAACATGCAAAGGATCCCACTTTTCCCTAAAAGGATCAAAAAGATTATTAAAGATGTGCTGCACCTGCAGTTTATTACCATGCAGTCCATGCAAATGATTACATCTTGCAATGTTTAACTAGGAAGATGGAGGAATAATAGACTAGGAGAGAAAGATTCTCTAACTGGCAATATGGACATAAGAGTATAGGACTATGCTACACTTAGCAGCATGGAAATAAAAGGTGGGTGTCAAGCAAAGCTACTTTCAAGTTTGACAGTGTTGTATAGATACTTCCTCCTCCGCAACCCCAGGTTATTGGGGAGAAATGAGTCCCACGATACTGTAAGTGCATCCATAGATATTTACCCCTAAAGCAGTAAGATTCCATGAAAGCACAAGGTTGCAGACCTATGAATTCCTGCAGGTTGGAGAAAACTGTGGATTATCTTTCAGATAGGGATCTGAGCCGTTACTGTTTCTGCAATGCTTAACAATATTGACAGTAAAAGGATTCTTCTGAACATAACATTTTAAACAACAGCTTATACGAGAGCTGGAGGATGACAACAAAGATCGTGGTTTTATTAGAGTTACTACTACAATATGTTATTACCATTGCGAGAGCAGACCCGACGCCTGGCCAGAGGAGTTCGAACCTTTAAGGGTTCCATTATTCTGGGTGGCCTGAACAAACTTAAAAGCAGCAGCAATTTTCCTGTTAAGAGAAAATAACTGTTAATCTGTTATGGAGTGTGACATTGATTTTTTCACACCTCTGAAGAATAAATACAGTCCTGACAAAACCTGCCATGGAGCATGAACTGGTTCATCTGATGACCTTTCATTTTTCCACAGTATGACACATAGACAAGTTCACAGTGGTTACGTTAAAATAAAAATGAAACATCAACTGAGACAAAGCGTGCATTTCACATTTCACAGCTGGAACATGAGTTCATGCTTTTTCAGAGAGTGGGTAGAGACAGAAGATTTTTTTTTTATTGCTGTGGAACATTTATCTATGCCCATTAAAACTAGTCTTTCCATTATACGTTTGGAAAAACCAGAGTTCAAGATCCTTTGCTTGAAATATGGTTGAGAATGGCCTAGTATTTTGGGTTATAAATGCAATAGTGGTTATCCTATCATCACATGTAATTCATCTTTTACACCAGGTATGTATTCAGATGTCCAGAACATCATGACAACATTGTTTGCATAAGAGAAAAAAAGTGAAGCATACATTGGCTTCAGTATGTCAGACTGATGCTTTCAGGAGAAAACGGATAGATACAGTGTTAACCTCATTTAAGTGTAATGTAACACAGTAGTATTTAAATACTATAACATACAATCTATAACTAGAGAATTACCTTACAATATTGCGTTTTCCTAGATACCTGAAATTTTGCAGACAAACCCTGAAAGATAAAACAACACATTTTATGCCTATTAATGGCTTCCTAATTATGAAAAAATACTGAATATTAGTGCCTCAAAGAGGCCTGTGGCATATGCACCTCCTAGTAAACAAACAGAAAGCAGCAGTTCCCAGCCTAGGGATGCACAAGATGTGGCACCACTTTCCACACCCTTGCTCCCTTTCTCCATTGTTGAAGATTCCTGCTTGGTTAGGAAACAAAGTCGAAGGCAAAGACTTGACTCCAAAAGCATTGCTTCTTCACCAGTTGAAGTTAAATAACTTGCATTTCACTTACAAGATGGTGAGGAAATTCTGAAAACAGCTACCTGCATGGATTCTGCAGCCACATATAGATTGGATTGAGCAAACCACCTTAGAGACATGACAAGCAGGTAATCCTACATTACGTGGCTTTTCTTATGGTTTGGAAGTTTTGGGGAGCTAAACACTTTTCTCAAGGGAAGAATAGAATCTCAACCCCAAATGGAGAAATGAAAATCTCTTTTAGGAGAGAAAAAGCATTATATGCCCCCTGTCCATGGAAACGATCAACATATTGGAGGATATGGATTTTACTAGTAATGTCTCATTACGACTTCAGAAGATTATGGCAAAATAATCTAAGATACAAGAGATATCTCAGCCTACTCCGCTTGGTGGACAAACCCAAAAAGAAATTATTTGCAGCAGTCACTTTAGTAAATCATCATTTAAGATAAAATCAGCCAACCACAAGATGAACTTACTCTAAAATGCTGAAAAAGTCCGTTATTTCTGAGAACGGTGCTCGCAACCAGTAGGAAATCAGTGCGTCTAAAGAGAGATATTAAAATATATTATGTATCTGTTACAGGGAATTAAACTTGACCCAAAGCCTGTGAAATACACTGATAATTATTCTAATTTAATGTTGGTTTGGATTCAGCATTCACGATATTTTACAACAGCATAAATTAGGTACTGAGCGCACATTTTCTTACCTTCTGAAATGGTTTTCATAATGTGAAGGAAACACATAAGAAGGCTTCTAGTTTCAGCTTGATCCAATTTGTCAAAACGAAGAGTTGATCCAATCAAAGACAAAGGTCTCATGATCTGTTGAATTGACAGCAGAGAGCCTTGTTAAGTGAAGTGATAGGTTTCTACCTCTAGTAACCGTTTTCAACATTTGCACATGTACCTTTTCACACGTGTCAGTTCTCTCACTGTTTTTTTCATTGGTACTTGGGTTAGATTCAAGACTTGCTAAGGAAGCTCTGGAGTCAGCATGGTTTGCTGCAGAGATAGCTATTGATGAAAAGGCTGTAAATGAAAGTCATAGCAAACATGCTAAACTAAAACACTAATGGATACAAAAACTAACAAGAAAAATGGAAAACTTAAAATGTGTCACATGCTGGATAGACATCAGTGCTTTGAACTTCCAATAGCAAAGCTATTGATGGGTATGTTTAGTACTGAAAACATGCAACAAGTTGAAGTAAAATGATTCAATTCGCCATTATTCATGGCATTAAAATGGCCTGTTGCATTCCATAAGGCCTGACCTAAAGCCATAAAAATCAGTGGAAAGATGCCCGTGCACTTCCCTGAATTCTGAAATGGGGTTTGGAGGAAGCAAACAATGTAAATTGCGTTTCTACCCTTCCATAAAGCCTGGAAAAGCTAAGGATACTTGCCTCCAAGAGACTTCAGGAGTTTTCAGGAGAAACCTTGGAACTATTCTTAAGTCAGGCAGAGACTGCAAGAATGAACTCAGGACAGGGATTTGTGAGAGCCTGAATACTGGCATCGTTCCAAAGCAGGAGAGTAAGTGAAGCAGTGGAAGAAGAGCAGCTTCACAAGAGAAATAAAAATCAATCCAAAAACACCCAAAGGGAAGAGAAACATTGCATACCATGTTTCCCTGAATATCGTATAAAATGGGTTAATGATATCCTCCATGAATACTAAGCAGAAAGCACGATGGATTGAGATACACAGAAATCTACCTGTGTGGGTGATCGATTTGTCATTTATACCTGCTATAGAGTTCAGAACATCTTTGGAAAAGGATGTGTCCACAGAGTTTGCATGTTTCATTGCTGTCTGGCTCTGAAATCCTCCGGCTGTGCTCAAGTCATCCCTAGATCCCTGTATTATGAAATAAACGGAACAAACTCCTGTAAATGATATCACTCATAACTTTCATAATGAGAGCACACCTGAGAGGCTTTTCATAGACACTGAGCTTGAAAACCTACTTTTAGTTGTTTAGACGTGACAGCCTTAAAAGATCAAGGCTTACTATAAGACGCTGAATAGTTACCTGCAATATGAAACTCTCTCATAACTGGAGTCATAAAGGACAGATGAAGTCTAACTGTGTTTGCTGCTTAAACACTAGCACAGCATTGGGAAGGGGGCATTAACTGCTGTTAGCAACGATCAGATGAAACAGGCTGGAAGGACTGAAAGACACCACACCCCTGCAGAAATCTGTTTCTAGTTTTTTAAAGCAGGGCTATAACACATATAATCTCTTAAGAAATAAACAAACATGCTCCTCCACATACGCAGTTTATACAGACATTTTCTGTGGTGGTTTTTCTATACCCCTTCCCTCCTTCAGCTACTTCTGTGCATTCCCTGTCCCTCCTGGTATAGTTCATGGTCCCTCTGTTGTACCGGTGAAACTGCTTGTGGGTCCATAATGTAACCCTGCAAAGAATCTGTGGGCGATGGGTGCTTTTCTTTACCACAATGTCTCCCCGCCACCTGCCAAGGGACCTGCCTGAGGACACAGTCCTCAGCCCCCAGCCTGCAGCACCAGGGCAGATGGCCTGGAAGGACTGGCTGGGGCTGCAAACCTCTCACTGAGTTTCCAGCCCCGGGACAGGCATGTCCTGGGTCTGTTCCAGGCCCACGGTCTGTACGCTGCCAGTACTTCTGGGGCCATGCAGGTGCTCTGCAAATCAAGACCTTGCAAACGAAACATTGCGGGTGCAAACAAATCACCATTTTCAGAACTGCATTTCATCAGCTAATTCGTGACCAACATAAACTTGGACCTCTTCCCACCAGATTGACTGGGTGAGACCTCAGTTTGATGCTTTCCGTATCCTGAAAAATCACATGAATTACCTGATTGGAAGTATTAATATTGAAAAGGAACATATCCTTCATGTAAATCCTTGGCATATTGTCCAAAAGCATTCCATAGAGTGGCATGTACAGGTTTGCTATTTGTGCCTGTTTTGCCTAAAAAATAAAAGATACAATACAATCCTGAAGAAACTAATTAACGTATACTAGTGGCTAAGGAAGCTTCATATATGTTTAACTACTGTATGAACAAGCAAATAAAGAAGAACAAACAAACAGTTTCTTTACCGGCTCTGCGTATCGATCATCAAATGAATGCTTTGCCATTAAGTTTTTAAGCACAGCCAAAGCTAAGTGTCTAATATCCTGGTCTTCTTGCAAGGCAAACCCAACCTCCCGCAGCAGTACTCCAATTAGAAAATGTTTACGGCAAAATTCATTGGTCAATGTGTACTCTGGAATATCTTGGAACAGAATGGACAAGAATGCTTAAATTAATATATCGGTTACATCCCTCCCCCCCCCTCCCCCCCCATTTTCCAAATTTACCATAACTTTTATTGATTTAAATCACCACTTGATTTAACCATCAAGTTAAACCTTGATCTTTTGATCTGACTGCCCCTTTCTGCTCCCTCACTTGTTAGAATGAATTAATCTCATATTATTTCTCGAAATCATGCATGTTTTACAATTTAATAATAAAAGACAATTTACATACACATTCCCAGATAAGAATCACAAATGTTTTGCACATAATAAGACTATTCATTTCTTTGAGGCACAGAGTCCAAATTGCTGTTCACATATTCTAGGTAGAAGAGTTCCAAACCACAGAGATTCCATTAATTCCGCTTTGGAAAATGGTAAATACTTTTTGCCTAAATCGGCCACAGCTCAGTGGTAGCAGTCAAAGTAAATCTTAAAGCTCTTGATGCACAATTCTGCTTACTCCTTATGCAGTCATTTTGTTCTTACCTGATGTTCGGTATTCCTGTGTTGATTCTGAAGGCGTCACAGGGTCTTCATTTTTATAAATATAAACCAAAAATAAGCAAAAATCATGCATTTTTTTTTACTTATTCAGCATAAAAATATATTTGCTTTGTATCTTTTTCTTATTTTTTAATTTGACTCGAATTTGAATGAAACAGCTTCTATTGTTAAAGAAAGCTATGAGTGTCAGAACTGAACTCACTTTTTGGTGCTGAAAACTGAAGCAAAAAGGAGACAAGGGCCCATAGTTTGAGATGCTGCTGCCTAGAGAGATGCTTCTGCCTTCCACTGAAAGATACCTTCCACTCTCATCCCAAGAGAACTCCCCAGAGTCCATGGAAAACTGTCAGAACTGGGAACTGTGCCCTGGGCTGAAATCCCAGCGCCCTTGAAACCCAGAGGAAAAGCACCCAGTACTGGGTATAGACCACAAAGTTAGGATGCAAATAACAGATTTGAGTGACGAGATGGAATGCACGGTGGCTGCTGGCTTTGGGGCATGGGCAGGGAGGATTCACTCCCATGGTAGAGTATAGGCAAAACCCGTTCATGCTTCTCTGGAAAACATGGGTTATACACAGTATTCCCTGCCTTGAGTAGCAGCTCAGGAGGTATTACTAACACATTCTGAAATGGGCCTCTCTTGCCTTGCCGCTCTAGGTAAAACACTGCAGCACGTGGTGGCTATGTGAAGTTCAGGCTCGCCAGAGACTAAGAAAGTAAACGCACTTGGGAGAAAAGGGCCATTACATGGGACCTGCCTGCAAATCCTAGAGATGCTCTGGAGGCAAAAGTACCGATGGCCTATTATCCGAGAGATCGATGCTTCCAAACCCCTGCTGCATGTCAGTTCAAATCTTCCCCACACAGGAGGGGCCGGCACATGGACAAGTCATACTCCCAACAGCAGCAGGAAAGCCTATTCCCAAACAGTAGAGTTTCACAATGCCCTTACCACTGCCTCAGCTTCTTTCCCTTCCTGCTGTACCTGTTCAACCCCTTCCGTCACTCACCACCTCCCAAGGCTACTGCAGCTTTAGTAATTAGTCCTCACAAATAGTCCAGTTCATTCACCTCAAAACTTCCAGCAAGAGTCACCTCCCACCACCTAACGGGGCTGTCAGGGGTTGCATTTATTTACAGGAATACTGAAATGATGTTATTTTTATCACACTGCTTAAGTACCACACTTGAAAAGCCATTTAGGGCTTCTGTATCTGATGGACAGATGTGGTACTTCAGAGAGTTAATTGTTATCTGCTCTTCGAACCTCCTGATAATTTGCCGTTGTACAAAAACCCTTTTGAGGTGGTGTCTTACCAGGAATGTTTGAAGACCGTATGGGCAGGCACAGAGGGATAAAGTGCTCATGGTGACAGACTTCTTGGAGAAAGTCAAATTTGAACTGATGTAAAGTCTGAAAAATCACAACAAGCAATGGCTCAGTTCACATTAAAACAGGGAAAATAATAAGACAGAGCTGCACTACTATTTACCTCTACGTCAAAATTCATACTCGCAGCCAACAATGAAACCTTACAGATTGTTATGTCAAGTTGCATGGATAATAAACATTTGAGTTTTGTCTCTTATCAAATGAACCCATCACAGTCAAACAAGCTTTTTGGATTCCTCAACTATGATTTTTTCATTGAAGATATACTCATAAATATAAGCTTGATCCAAGCTAAATATTTAAGTCATATTTAAAGCTACACTGGGTCTTTTGATGGTATATACTACAGCATATAATCATAGCAAAGCATCTTCTCCAGTTCACATACATTTGGGACTGTCATAATTATAATGCCTTTCTTCTTTTTTTTTTTTTTTTTTTTAATTCTTTTTTTGGCAAGCAAATACAAAGTTTCAGCCACACAGGCCAGATCCAAAACTTAATGATAGTGATGAAAACTCCCTCTATTGATGCCAGTGAGTTCCAGCTCTGAGAGATTTGGGTACTATATAATATTGGTAATACTTCCAAGAAGCTATCCATGATCTTCTGAGGAGCCTTGCAACTACTTCAAGAATTTATCATTCCCACTATAATAACATGCTACTGGGATATAAAGATAATACAGGACATCCAATAATACATTTTTATTTCCATCTTCTCGGCTCACTGTTCTCAGTGGCAGAAAGCAGCCATTCAGGACTACCAATACGACACTGCATCCATCTAGGCCCAACACTTGCCCTAGCATTAGAAAGTACTTGTAAAGGTTTTTTCTTTGCCCTGTGCATAAGTTTGTCAGTCCTTAAAATTAAATTGTAGCATTTCTGCTGTCACCGTCAGGCTAAAATACCTGGAACATGCACTTTTCAGTCTGCTGAGTAGTGGACGGTGGGGAATTTCTCCCTGAAACATTTTATTGCTCTGTAGCACCTCATGAGGAATACAGCTGGACATGCAATTCAGGGTCTAATGGCAAATAAAGAAATGGAGCACCTGAAATGCGTTTCCCAAGAGGAACTGTGACATTTTGAGGGAACAACAATGAACTGAATTGTAATGAGATATTTCAACTTTTGAATAAATATTCTCGAAACAGCGTTTAAATATCAAAATATGGAGTACTGTGAGGGATGTTTCTGTGGAACAGAAATTATGGTGCTCATTCACAATTACAATAAATTCAAACTGCAATTTTGTAGGCTGACATACCCACAAACTGTTTATTCAAGCAGCAATATACATTGTTAAATTTTCTGGAGAGAGGTCAGATTGCAGTCTCATCTCAGCCTCTCTCTCCTTGAGGTCAGAAATCTCTGATTTTATTTTGTGGCTATTGTTTCCATGTGTTTTTAAGCAAAGCCTGTTCCAGTGGTACATCTGTCTCAGCTCCGCAGTGATTCTGGTTCCACGCATCCTGGCGGATGGCTCTGGAGGGATGCTGGGCGCCTGGCAATGCGCACGCACTTACTGCCGAGGAGGTGCTAAGCTCTGCTCTGCACACAGACTAAGCTCAGGCTTTTCCACTGGCCATCAATTGGCTTTTTTAATTTAAACATCTGTTTCTGTGGTTGAATGTATTTAAGGAAGTTTGAAATGTGGAAACAATTTTCAGATTGCATAATATTATTTACAGAATTATAGACTTCAGGCTATGGCATTAATACTGAGAGACTCCATTCTACATCTGTTCCAGAGATCAGATGAAAGACCCAAGTGCAGCATGAAATTGGTTTCAGTAAAAAGCTCACTCGTTACCTACAAATGCCCAGATCATCACTAAAGAATTATAAAAAGTTAATGGACAAAAGTTTTGTAAGCTTTTTTGGGAAAGATGCGTCATTCAAAGTGCATATCTTGAATACATTCTGTTATTTATCATCTTATATGCTCTGGTACGATACCTCAGAAACCCAGCCACGGAAGAGAAAAAGCCAGTGACTCATCCTGATGGATGAAGAGTAAAGGAGTCAAGCTGAATAATTTGGGGATCTCTTGCAGTTTGAAATTTATTGTTCAAACTACAATACTGACTATTATAGGTATTTTAGAAGAAATTCAGGCTGCAGAGAATTTTCCCCATAGCAAGCCCAAACTAATTTGGAGCAGATCAGCCTTCTTGCATCATCAGTGAGGTAGGAGCATACTATTCATTCAAAGTAACTGAGATGTTACATTCTCACTTGAGTTTACACAATAGTAACTTGTTCATACGCTCTTACTTTTATCTCTTCAAAGAAAATTACTGTCAATTGCTGCTGATATTTATAGACCGAACCACAAGTGAACTCTCCAAAGAATCACAGCTTAAATGCAAAGAATTTCTGACCGGTCAGCCTTTTGCATGCTTTGGTCTGAGCAGTCTTTGCAGAGACTGCTCTCGCATGGCTCACTGAGTAGTTGTTTGGACACAGCAGAAAAGGGGAGAGATGGTTCAAACCTAAGAGGTTTTAACACATATTTACAGCAAATGTTTTCACTGACTTGAGTTCTGAGTATGGTGAAGCTATGGAATTGATCATAAATACTTTCAATATAAAAATATTCTGCTAGTGAGTCACTTCAGAAAAAACAAAAACAAATAAAAAAAATAAAAATTATACCTTGCTATCTCCTGTTCCAAACATACTTATATAATTGTTGACCATCTTGAACACAAATCCACGATCCATAAATGTAAAACAGCGCTAAGAAAGGGGGGGAAAAATTATTATTATTATTTTATAGCCAAAAAAAGCAGTACATGGCCTTACTTACGTGGCTGTTTGCCTTGTGTGACCTATAAACTTGAATCATTTGCGCAGATGGTTAGTCTTACAGCAGGGCAAGGAAAAACAGGGAACTGGTGAATCTGGCTCGATTTTTTAATTTATTTTTTATAAATTGATCAAACTTTTCATTTTCACTGTGTTTACAGTCCAAACTAGTACGGTACACTAGGAGAAAGCTTATCTAATGAAAGTTATTCGTGTACTGTGACACTCAGTCACTAGATGTGGTACGTGATGGGAGCTGACCTGAGTATCTCCTTCAGTGACAGAGCAATGAGTCTTGAGGAATCAATCCAGCCACAATACTTGCTGTCCATGAGCTACGTGATCTCTCCAGGAGCAAATCTGACACTGCATTACTTTCCAACATGAACACTGCTCTAGCTGACAGATGGGGCTAAACAGCCAGAAGGTGTAAAGGTTTTTGAGGCCTTGGTGCAGTTACTGACATTTTTTCTTTGCAGACTCTGCCTACCAGAATAGGGAATGCAATTTTGAATTGCCCCCTTCTCTGGTGTTCCTGAGCCCTGCAAAACTAGCGAAGCCCTGAGCCTTCTGCCACACAGCATTCAAACATGGCTGCTGCCACCCCAGCCTGGAGAAAGCCATGCCATCTCTAACCTATGTCATTCCTTCTGGCAGACTAGATTTGAAAAGAAATGAAAACACAGCCATATGCCCTACGATATAACGCAACACTACTGTCTTCCCAGTTTAGCTGAGTCACACACAAAAATAGCATGCAAATCTGCAACAGCTCCGCAGGTGCAACACCACACAACTACTGCTTAAGTCCCTCCATCTACACTCCTGCCTCAAACCTGCGTCATCTTCCAAATGATGTAGTACTGTGGACAGATACTGCTTAATGTCAGTATGCCAACAGCAACTAGGGCTTCCATAAGGTATCAGCAACAGAGGCCAACACAGTGGACAGCAAGTTTATAATTTATTTCACCTATGTATGAAAGGAGAAAAATCCACCTTCAGTTTGTGGCTGTTTTGCTTATAATCTCACAGGAACATTCGATTGCTGGAATGCTGCTCTCTCCTAATGCTGTGCTTCAATTTGTCATAAAAGATTTGAGCCTGGGTTTCAGTGTGTACTACATACAGTATTCTGTACATCGTTAATGTACATCATTCTGTTAACGGAAAGTATGTGTGTCCAGTTTAAATCTAGATTAAGTATCTGGCCACACAACTTATTGAATGGCAATTTTCCCATGCTCCACAGCTAATTCAACGCTGGGAAAATAAGAATGATTGACAAATATTAGGACAAAGCCCTCAAATGCAACCCTTTTTGTTGACTTTTCCGAAGCACGCATGTATTTTCTTATATTTGGCAAATGAAAAGGCATTACAGAGTTAAAAAGGTAAGTTACATTATTTCACACAATACTTGCAATTTGCTTATTCTGGTTTGTAAAAGCTGCCCACTCTAGTTGTGATTAGGAAATATTAATCCACCCACAGTCATTCAGAGCTGTAGTATTTAAAGAAAAAATACCAGCTCAACTGTAACTACAGTTTCATTCCTTACCAAACTTTTTACCAATTGAATGTTGTGTAAGAATCTGCAAAATTTGAAAACTTGGGCTCTTTTAGAGAATAGACATAAATTAATCAGAATTGCTTTAAAGCAGACTCAGATAAAGCTTTTGCATTCTTCAAGAGTCAAGGGCATAGAAAACCTGAACTATAGGTCAACACTAAACTTGGAATTTGAGCCATCATTCACTCAAAATTGTTTTTATTCCCATTGACTAGACAAGAATAGTCTCGAGTTTGCATGGGGAAATAAGTGCACGTGTTGTAATGACAGAACATCTCACCTTAAGAAATTTGGCAGTGCTGTAGTTTGCATTCCTGGTTTCTTCGAGAGCATCTTTGTACTTCCAAACGACATGGTCTGCTAAAATCATCACAAGTGCATCCAGCTCAGTTTGAAATGATTCTGGAAACCTCTGAGTTCGAGAAACCTAAGCAGGGAATAGAGCATCACTTGAGAGCATACGATGTTGCACATTAAACCTGAAAATACAGAAATATTCCTAGAGTTCCATGGATCTATTCTGAGCATAAACCCCAAAAGGAAGAATCTGGCCCATAGGAAAGTGGGAAATCTTATCCTTAGATACCAGCACAAGTATACTAAGAGCATCTTTGATAATCACGTAGAAAAGAGGTCAAAGCACCAGTCTTCAGCTATGTAAAGTTTGCTCAAAGCAGAGATGATTTTCTAGATCATTTATTTGCTGTCTGGCATAACCACCTGTTGGGCAACCAGCAGAAATTAGAGAATTCCCATTCCATTCTAACCCACCAATTGCAAAGCTGATGCAACTGTATTTTGGCCCACCAGCTCTGTACAAGCAAGAATAGGTTTGAGCCTAGCAGGTAATATGTTTTTGTGAGTAAACCCAGTATTTTACAAAGTATATAATAGTGTTTCTTTTTCTGGCTTGTCAATAAAAAAAGTCCAAATATGTGTATTTCCCAGGATTCCACCTTTTATATTTTCCCTAAGAGACTGATTGCTTACTTACTTGAGATCCCATATACACTTACCTTTGTTTTGTTTGTATCAACCAAGTGCTGTGCCATTGATTTTAAGATAACTGCAAAGAAGAACCAGGAATGCTGCTCAAAAGAAGGAAAAAAGAGATTAGGAAAAATGATTATCTGATAAATATTTTACAATGCATTATCATTCCTTATAGATGGATATCAGTTCTCAGTAATGCACAATGATAAACTTCTATGTGACAAACAAATTAAAGAGCCTAAGTGCCATGTATTTGAGTAACATTGGATCATGTCCTTAAAAGAGCTGAAGCCATCTCTGGCACTTTGTCACTGTGTCTCCATGCAATAAGGAGCCCACAAACACACAAACACCACTCCTACAACCCTTCCGTACCTGCTGAGCACTGTCTGCATTGTTTGTTTGCCGGTAACTGGCAGAAATGCACGATGCAGAGAACACCAGAGAACAGAAGCTGAGAATAAACTGTCTTGTTAGTTCCAGCAGATTGGTGATTTGGCCCAGAATAATATTCTTCAAATACCATTTGTAACAGGGAACAGGTAGGTTATCTGTATCCTCACGTATCTCAGGAGATATGTGAAACATACAATGATATGTGAAACAAATACACTCAAAAAGATAACAAATTGCAAAAAAAAAAACCCCAGAACAAATTCCACAAGTACTTTTGCATGGCCCAGGCTTCCTGCAAGCCAGCTTTTCTGCTTTTTCAGCCTATTTTTCCTATGCCAGTGGCTCAGCATAAAAAATAGGAACTGGTTCACTCTATATAAACAGTTGAACATATTTTTGCCACTGGGAACTCCCGAGCTGGACTGGCTAGCTCTTATACCATAACTGTCAGGCTCAGTGATGGGGCTTGCACATGTCTGAATTTCTTAGACCTGGTTTGATATGAGAAACCTCAGTCGTTCTCATTTTGGTCACCGTCAATCAAAGGCAGCAGCTGAAATCAGATATAAACATCCTACTTACAGATGAATATTATCCCTGCATCTTTCAAAATAAAAATTAAAGTATCATAAAAGTAATTGCTCATATCATATTGCGTAAGAATTAGGTTTCCGACTCAGACGGAGTTGGAACAGACAGAAGGAATTTTATTATGCAAACCACGGCATTCTGAGAAACATGTTTTGCTGAGAAACTGCAGCAAGTCTGGTAAGTCTGTTCTGTTGAATCACTGCAGGATGTGATTTGTGCAAGGCTCATATGGGGAAAGAGGAGAGGAGAAAGAGATGTGACAAGTGAGTTTCAGGCAGAAAAACAGTAGTAAAATTGCAAATGTGCTAATTCAAGCTATCATTCACCTTTAAAACCTGTTTCACTGTTACTTGGTCATTTAACTTCAGAAGACCAGTCATATTCTTGGCCAGCTCCTCGTGAACAGTCCTTTCTTCAAATGATTTGGTCCTAAACACATACTGAAAAAGAAAGGAAGAATAAAGATGATAAAAATGTACATTACAACAAATATAAAAAACTTCAGTAGGAGAAGATAAATTATTTATACACCACTAACAGCTGACAATCTTTGCTGCCAAAATATCTTGACTGAACAATACATTCACATAAAGTTTAATTCCCCGAGCAGTGATGGCACAACACTGCTCCCCTACAAAATCCCGGTTTTAAACACAACTTATTTCAGCTTATTGTGAACCAAGAGGAATGTCTGCTTAAAATCAGTGCTCTAATTTATTTTTGTCAACAGGGCATAGTATCCTGACACTTCTAAACTGCCTTTCAAACCATTTCACCAAGGGGAAAAAAAAGAATAAGCAAGCAGAGGAAGTATGGAGGGTTTTTCACCCACCTAGTCAGAGCCACCTTTCATTTTGTCCTTTCTTCCAGTGGCAACAGCTAGTCAGAGCTGGTAACAGCTCTTCACCCTGAAAGGTGTGGAGCACCCACGTGGAGCTGACAGAAGGGGAAAACTATACCTTTTTTAGAAATCAAGCCCTCAAGAGAGGAATTTATCTATCAAGTTGCTCAGAACTCATAAATCTAGTTACGAGTTTTATTCAACATTTTAAGCTAATAATTTGGTACTGGGATCCCTTACTCCTTCCCTCAAACAAGAGCTCTGCCAGTGCATCAGTTGGGATGAAATACCTTTTCAATTCAACCAGGTAGTTAAAGGAAAGGAATATCACTTGAAAATATCTTATTAATATTCAGCCTTGTTTTCAGCGCAGATGCCATAAGCTTCTCCCTATGCAGTTTGACACTTCTGGGTCCAGTTATTTGAGTCAGTGCAATTTTGCATTATTATTGCATCTGAGTGACTCACAATTCTCAACTTACTTATTCCCAAAACAGCATTTCTAAAGTAGATATTCATTTCCTTACAGATAGATAAAAGAGATTAACAGTTATTGGCTTCTGACTGCTGCTGGAAATGGGACAACAGGCTAAATGGACTTTTGGTGTGGCCTAATAATCATCTGTTATTTCAAAGATATTTAGCCACAATAGGTGCCTACTGCAATTTTGAAAAGTTATTGAGTAGAAGAGGTGTTAATACCCATTTAATTAACTACCTTTAAATGTTACATAGGTTATTTATTTTGGAGCCTGAACAGTTCTGCTGGACCTCAGCAGAATTCCTGTGCTTAAATCAGAGTACTTGAGACTAAAATTTGACTACTAAGAAGCTGCAGTGCATCACCTGTAAACACATACTTTCATGAAGTATGAAAGTAAATCCACACCATGGAAATATCAGTCAACATTTTTCAACACTGAAATTAAAACCCTTTTCCCATTCAATAACCTAACTCCTACCATATTTTCATTATTCTACCCATGAACAAGCTGAAGTTTCAGAGTTAATCAATAATTTATTTTTCACTTTATTCCTAAAGTTAATTTAAAAAAACCCCAACAAACCAACCCCCAACGTATGTCACATATATTAGAAAAAGTGAAAAAAAATTTAACCCCCTTAAATGATGTTCATTTGTCTATTAATTTTTCTGTCCATGCCAGTAAAAGCAGTCAATGTACTCTACTTAAAAACATGTTTCTTCATAAAATTCTCAGCTTTTAAAGCTATTACCCAAATATACTATCGATGAGATACTTGCTGACCAATAGCATTATTTATACTCATTTAATGGATATTCAATTGATACAGATAACAAGGAGATCATCTTTAAAGAGGCCGCTCCTTTGGCTTTTTACGTAATGCTACAGCTTGCCTGGAACCAAGCTCCATACACAGAATGTATTCATATATATTTTATATAACCTCTTCTTCAAAACAATAATGGATGAAAAAAGCTGAGTAAACATGGAACAGTTACAAGAATCTGAACTCCACAGATGAGAAAAGAATTTAGGTACAACAGCACACGGAAAGACACAGGATCTTGAAACTAAAATAACGACTTAAGAAAATAATCAAAAGCTTAGTTAAAAAGCTATAGCTTCCTAAGAAACATGCAGCCATCATGCAACCATGAAAAGCACCCAGAAGTACCTCTTCCATAAAAATTACCACTTGGGGATCCTTTTCAACTACAATGATGGCAACCCTGTACATGTATAATACAGATGGCCAGATATTTTCAAGTGATAAATCTCATCACAGTCAAGAGGAATGCTGCAAACTGCGGGCAAACTACATTAAGTGTCTCCCACTAGTAACTATCTAGCTGAAGTTTCATGATTTTTCATGTATTTACCTCCCTGTTCCATCCTCTCAAACCCTGCAAGGTGGGAAATTCTCTGTTTAACGCCATTTCACTAAGACTGACACTAAGCCTACGCTCCTAGAAGCTCAGAAGCGCATTTCACTAGGTCTTGCCTCTAAAATGTAAGCTCTAGTCATCAGCTGACTATGGGAAATTGTCCCTCCCACATCCCAGTACCCTTTAAGAACGCACTGCAGCTTCCTCCTCCTGTGCTTGCTCAACTTGGTGTGTCCTACGGAAAGCAAACTGCACCACGCAGAGGAAACATGAGCAGCCCTTTGACGTCCTCAAAGGAGTAAGGTTGCGAGCCAGGACACAGCCAGGTTTGGTGGGGAAGGACACTCTATGGAGAGTCCCTGCTCTACAGGATGCCCTTAAAGCACAGAGAGGCAGTGTAATTTGTTCAAGGTGACGCAAGAAACTTATGGCAGAGGAGGAGAATTGAGTCACAGCTTCTTCCAAAGAGTCATCCAGCCTATGAGTGGCAGAGAGCTATGATGCAAATGCAGAGAAAGGTACAGACAAGTACAGCTCAGCATAAACAGGAAAAAACCCCACAAAACTCAAAACCAACCTCCCCACATAAAATAGTTAACAATATAAGAGCAATCATACCGTCACGTAAGAATTAATGCAGTTGTCTAGTTGTTCTTCATGGCACTTGGCAACAATGTTAGTAAGAACCCTGCAAGATAAAAAATAAATAAATATTGAGCTGTTTTGTGTCATAAGGCAGAGAAAGTCTATCTGATGCATCACATTGTTCTGTTATTGTAACCTCATTTAAAACAGTCCATGAGGGATGTGATACGAATGATGAATAGCGCGTGCAGAAACTGTCCCACTGGATAAAAACAGTCAATCCTTGGGCCCTCCGCTTGCATGGATTGTGCTATTAAATATGCATTCATCTAAAAAAATAAACTCAGTTTTAATGATTATAACTGTACCAACATTACAACAAAAGAAAACTATTATCTAACTGAAGCTTATACAGACCTTGGATGATTATGAATAAGAAAAATTAGAGTATGCTAATGAAACAGAGACACAAGAGCCTCTTTCTCTGGGAATGCTACTGGTCAGGTTCTCTCAGATCTTGGTAATTCTGTAAAGTTCTGATACTTTGTTTATGACGGCAGTGTTAATCAAAGACAAACACAAGCCTAGGCTCAAGACTGAGCATGTCCCTCTCCTGTGCCTCGGACTCAGCCCCAGCCTGAGTGCCCAAGCACCCAGGAACACGAGGCCAAGCACAGCACCCTCTCGTACTGCGCAGCAGGGACAGGCTGACACTTGGTGCAACCACAGATGCTTTGAACTTATGCAGATCAGCTTGGTGACGGGCAACAGGAAGAAAATTGCCTGGGTCGTGCTGGCACCCACTCTCACAACTTGAGCTTCTACTACCAGCAGAGATGGCACTACTTGAGACCCAGTATTTCAGCAAATTCTTCTCTTCAATTTATACCTGGGCCATCTTGGTTTGAGATCATCCTGTTTCAGAAAACACAAGACTGAGCAAGAAGTATTCTTCAACTTAAACATGATTATTGGGATCTCATTTTTTCAGGATACTTAATATAGAAAAGACTGTGCAGTTTTATAATCTTATTTTTTGGTTAAAAGAACGGGAAGGGAACAGGTCATGATTCTCAAATGTCAAGAATTAGTGAACCCTATCTCAAATTCAGGGGTATGCATAATAACAGTATGACTAAAATGGATTATTAATGTCTGTGGTGTAGTCATTTTGACTAGCTTGATGATTTGAGTATTTTCTACCAATTCTTATTCTTATTATTGGATTCAAAAGCTTTGTAACTCTTTTAAGTCAGTATTTTTCATTTATCTCATTTGTTGCTGTTAGTAAGAGAAGTGAAACTTGCAGCAAAACACAAAAGCTGTGACAAAATTAGTTGTGCCCATTCTGACCCTTCAGCCTTTATTCTGATTTTAAAATGGAAACAAGTTCTGGCAAAGATGAGACAGACAAATGATGACATGACTGGGCCCCCAGACGAGTAAATAGCCATGAGAGAATATAAAAGGAATAATATTTTCTCCCCAACACATAAGCCAATCTATGCTCTCATTCTGTTGTTGTTGCTTTTAATATGTTCAACACAAGCTGCTTCAAGCTATTCAGAACAAAATACAATGTGTGTATATATAGGACACATCAATGAATGGCACACACAGCAGACGTGCGTATTCCCGTTGACATCAACTCTGCCAGCACAAAAGCTACCACACATACATGAAAAACACTGAGAGTCCTTCTTTTATGTTTTTTTGGCCAGGTGGGTGCATAGGCAAAATCTGAAGCATGAAAAAATTATCAACCTTCCATTTTTTCCATCTAAATATTAAAACTATTTTTTAAACAGTTGCTTCTTCTATAGCAATTTTTTTCCAGTCAGTTAACCAATACTGAAATTCTAGCCTGGGACAAAATTCTTCATTCTCTCTATCTAACATCAGTTGATTTGTTGGCCATAAAGGGGTCCTGAACAAAGGTCTGACTGCCTCTCCTCCTTTAAAAATAGCATGCAATGATGAAATCACACATGTTTACAAGAAAAGGTGCCTAGGTGTGGTAAAACTGGACTTTGCCCTGCAAGGTGCCATGATTCTTTGATAAAGAATATTGAAACTCTAGTTTTCCAAGGCTAAGATGACGAATTCTGCTTCCTTGGTCCTTTAAGTTTTCCTAATTAATCTTCCTCAGGAACTAATTCTGAGGAACAATCTGTGGAAAGCAAGAAAATATACTGACAGCAGATTAGTCTAACAGGGTTGCTGAGGACAGTTGTAATTTTTTCCTACTAGTTGTACTGTATTGTTTAGCTACTGGCAGAAGTACAACAAAAACACCACTATGGCCAAAAGAAAATGCAATGCAACTTTCTGCCCGCCTGCAGAGACCAATAATAATATCTGCATTTTTTTTTTCCTGCTGCCCTGATTAACAGCATCAATAAAGACAATTTCATTATGTGAGGGGTGAGAGACTCAGCAAATCATTCCAGCTGTTTGCCTGCTCACTGGAAAATGCTTCCATTGCTCTTCAGTTATTGCTGATATACTCTAATTAAAAAATGCCCCAGAACAGTGTGATCTGGTTGTTTAACTCTGCATTGGATGCTGCAAGATGCTAAGCTTCCTATGCTGAACTCCACTTCCTCAGACCCAAACATAAACCAAAATTGATATCCAGCGTTGTTAGGAATCACTTAGCTCCTTAAGAATGAGACCTTTACCTACGACTGCCTCAGGGTACAGAGACACGTCCACCATGGTCAATGATTTCCTGGTTGGTATCAGTCAGCCACAAGATACCACACGCTTCCATGCGCTGTTTGCAGAGCCCTGTGTTAAGGGGGAAGCAGGCATTCTCACCTACTAAAGTCTAAATGTCACAGTCAGCCTTCGTAAGAGCAGTTATAATTGGACTAACATCTACATTTGCAATCTAGAGTGGATTCTTTTCCTCATACGGAAAATATTCAGATACCTGGTCACAGCTGTTGTAACCTCATCATCACTGTTTTGCACCAAAACCCAGAAGAGCTGATTCAGGACTACAGGAAGAAAATTCATAATTACATGGATCTTCTCAATCCTCAGCAAATTCTGTAATGGACGCAAGAAAGAAAATGAGAGATTTCCAATACGATCAATGAAAGCTGATTACTTGTTTTCCTGCTTCAGCAGGCAAAATGCAGTGCAGCGACTGGTGTAATAGCAGTAGGAAAACAGGACAACTAAGTAAAGGACTGGTTCTTCACAGGTATTAGTGATTTATAAATAAAAGCCACAAAAGGAAAATTACCTGGTTATATTGCATAGTCGATCTCTTGTTGCATACAACATTGTCTCTATTTTCCAACAAAATTACTGAAATATTTTTAAAAGATAAACTACAAACAGCAAATAAAGAACAGTGCAATTCTGGTAGTTTAGATAACTGACTGACTGTCTAGAAAGTTGCAAAGCTTTCATGGATTCCTAAACTTTGTCCAAGATGCTCAATGGCTTCCCAAAAATTAATAGTTAAGGACTTCATTCTGTCAAGGCATCACCTCTAAATAACACTGATGCTTTGATTTTTGAAAACATCCCTTAATAATTTCTTTAAATCAAAATGGTACTTAAAAACAAAAGCAACCACTTTCAGGTCTGTCTTCATCTATCAACAAAGTAGTAGCCACCTCTAGGGACTTGCCCAGTGGACTGCCATGATTTATTGGAACTTATTGTTTGCTTATTAAAGCAAAAATCTCTTCCCAAGCAGCTTTATAAAATCTGATTAAGGTACACTCAAACAGTAAAACATTAACATTGTTAATGTTTTCAAGGAAGGGTGAAGTATCTACATGACGGTAACGTCTAAACCCCAAAACATCTATTAGATTTTACAGACTGCTAAAAGGAAAAAGAATAAGTCAGTCACATGTACGATATTTTAGAGCTAGTACTGTGGAACAGTGCCACAGCTACCCTTCAGTCTTCTTGCTTATCCTCCTGTTAAAGTTCAGTAAGCAGATTGCAAAGTGAGAACTCTGAATTTCACCATTCACAAACAGGTAAAGAATCGCGGCCCTACATTTACCTGCCGCTTTCCTAATTTGCTTGTTATACTCCTCCTTTCTCATAGCTTTTGACCTCTATGGAATAGTCACATTTAAGGCAGTTCTTGCTTATTCATCTCTGCAGAAAGGGCATGTTCTTTCTAATTTCAGAACTTGACAGGCAACAAGCACCCTTGATTTATACATGCAAAATACCCTACACAGGCCTTTGGAGAGCATCCAGGTTGTTGAAGTGAAAGTAGAAGCGCCAAGCAGAACATAAGCATACAATGTATCTAAGGCAAGAGAGGACTAGCAGGAACACTGCGGCTCTAAAGGCCACAGCTCCTTTCCTGGACATTCCCAGAGCGCCAGAGCAACATTCCAGCATCCTTGCACAGGATCTGGCGCTTGGCATGGGCTGGGTTGTCAAAGTTGATGGGGGAGATGCAGCAGCCATGCTCCAAATGAGAAGGGATGGGAGACAGCTCTGTGACCAGTCATGCATCTGTCCCATCAAGTAAGTCTAACTGGAGTTGTCATGGACCCATTGCTCCTGGTAAGTCTATGCCATGTTTAGAATTGTGCAGTGATGGATCATTTGAGAGAAAGCTCTAAATATCATTTTATAGCACAGCTTATGTTGCAGGTTACTTTACCTTACAACAATTGATAAAGTTTGAGGTAGGAGGCTGGGATAGATCCTTTTCCCTTTCTTGGCACTGATGGAAAAAGTTATTCAGGTATGGATCCTAAAAACGATAACCATTCACATTAACGTACATTACAGAAAGGATGAGACTTCAGCTCCATAAATTGGTTAGAGCAATCACCTGTGATACCAAAGAACACACTCGGTCCTTACTGCCTTAGACATCAGACACACAAAGACAGATCAATTTATTTAATCCAATCCATTGGCCAGCACAGCTCGCTACAACTTATTTCTAGGTGCTTTGATCACTTTTTTTCAGGGTTATAAGCAATTAATTTTTTACTCACAATCTAAGGGATTTCAGTGGCCAGATTGTTTTGTCTTACTGGTGCTCACAATAAATCTCCTTGCTGTTTAGACTGATATTCCACAATTGTTCTGTTGGTATAATCTTAAACACTTTATATTTTTCCTTAAAGTCTGTATTCCATCATTGTCATCTTGCCCTTCTACATGCAAATAAACTTTAAATGTTAGAGAAAGAAATTCATGCAAGATTTTAAAACATCTTTCAGACATTCCTTGACATTTTTGTTTGTAAGCAGGTAACAGAGCTAGGAGGAAATTCAGCTTACCTGAGTATTTACTGTCGATACAACAAAAGTAGAGACTTTGAAAAGTGGTTTCCCACTATCTACCCATTTTACATCACAGCCGATCTGCTATTAAAACAAACAAGAAAAAAATACATTTTCTCACTTATTTCCCACTTCATCATTTCCTACACATCAAATTTTCACAGCATAGGTTTGCACATGTATGTGCATGAACCGTGCTGGCTACTGTACTTTCACAACAGCAGATTTACTGCAATACAAAACCACTTTTCAGCACACGCCCATGATCGTTATCATTAAAGGGACCAGATCAGTGCCCCACCTTGTCCTCATGACAACAGTAAAACAAACACAAGGAGGCAGAAATAATCCAAACTGGACAGGATCACTGGGGAAAATATGATATCATACCACAAAACTGGAGAATGAATCATGATAGTGGATCACATCAGCTGGAGAATGAATGTCACACAGCCTGAATTTGTGAAAGGAATTCTTTTTGACCACTCTCATTCACATTTTGGAGAAGTTAGGTATAATATTGTAGCATACACAGTTATAAAATACACTTTTTCCATATACACTTGTGAATCGGCAACATACAACTCTCAGTCCAGTACTACACAGGTTAGTTTATATACTCAATGATATGCACACGAATATTCTAAAACAGATACCTTATTTATGATTTACACTTCCAGGTAAGTGCAAATGCAAATCTGATCTCATGTAAAACACCTGCAAATAAATGCTCTGTGCCATGTGAATAATATGAAAGTATGAATTAGTACCTTTCCACTAGTTGGTTCTTGAAGGCTCAAATAATTGGGAGGCAGACTGCTTGCCACTGGCACGTTGTGTTCTTGGGAAGCTAACTGGGCATCTTTCAACAAAGGAAGCCATGCGTATCCCACTGTGCACATGAACAAATCAATATCACTCTTCGGAAAAACAAGTTTCTCAAGTTCAAAGGAAGACAATAATATCCAGCCAGAAATTCTGCAATCCTTATTTGAATGTACATCATTTATATTTATAATTGAAAGTAATTCTACTACAGGTACCTGGTGTTTCCAGAGCCTCTTTCTTTTTGGCATTAGCTTTTGCATTTATGTCACAGGTGACATGATAAAATGAAAACAGAATGTGGTGTTTCTTATGGAGTTGAGTGGGAAGTTCAATTTTCACCTGAAATGTAAAATGTTACACCTCACTTTAGTTTAAAATTCGATTAAACCAGGCATCAGAGATGGTCTAAATGAGCGACATCTCTCTTTACACAGAGGTCTAAGTACAGCCTGCCTTTACTGGCTAATGTTTGTCTGCATGGGTAATAGATGATCTCTTAAGGAAACTGTTTAGGATGATCACCCATTGCTATTACTTAAAGCAGCTCTTTTTCTCTCTATCTCGTGAATGAATATTTGCATTTATGATGAAAGAGCGTAAAATGAAAGAGGACAGAACTAAAGAGTGATGGACCCTGCCTGGAAGCGATCACCTGCACTCTAGCAGCCATAAATAGCCATCACCATTCTCATGTTTTCAGGATGACCAAACCAAAAACTAAAATGACATCTCTGCTACTGCTTCATCATCATTTCATGGCAAAGACCAAGAAATAAAGGCTAACATGAAAATAAACTTTTATTTATGATTTCTGCTCAGTCCCATATCATGTTATCTGTGAATCCCTAAAGATTGGGTTTGATTATTAATTGGTTAATTCCAATTAACCTATTGGAATAAAAATACAAAGTAATCAGAACATGTTACCATAGGAACTAATAAAAAAGACCCCTCACCCTTGTGACCTGTGATAAAGTTTATCCAAGCTAATTCTATGCTTAAGGTTTAGAAATTGCTGGTAAATACTTCCAGTGTTAAATCAGCTTATGGGTAAGAATCTAATACTATAAACATAGATATGAAATGGGCATTCAGACATGGAGATTAAGACAACTTTCTTGATAACATACTACATTTTTTTAAAGACTGCACTTGCTGTTCTAGGAACATTTAGGACAGGTGCACATGTCTTCCAGCCAAATCAGCTATTAAGATCTGAATTCAGATCTTTGTTCAAGTTTAAAGTAATCTGCCCAAACCAGATGGCTCACTAGCATCACGTGGAAGACATTTTCAGATGTGTTAAAACCCAAAACACTGCTTGCAAAGGAGTAGCAGAGGGTTCAAGATCGCTGAAGATGCAATGCTTTAAGTTCCACCTCAGCTCCTAAACACGAATCTTAAAATTGATACTTCACATGTAGTTGTACATTATCTGCTGGACTTGCCCCTGACATTTTATCAAAGTGAATTTTAATTGAAAAAGGCAGTTTTTCCAAGATCAAGCCAACAGTTTGGAAAATGCTGGCTATATGCTAACGCTGTTTGCCAGCCTTATCACTACACATAAAGCAGCAGTGGAAAATCCAGAACAGACACGTGACATTCACAGGCCATCACACACACTAGTCTCTCAAAGGGTGAAATTAAGTTCACCTGCAGAAAGCCTGGGAGTCAATACTTGGTATTGGTGAAAGGTAAAGATGCATATGCGACTAACATTGGGCAGAGGCCAACGTATGAACTTTATTCTATAGCTGCATCCTCAAAAGCACCAGCTAAGTGTCTTGCTGCAGCCACTGTACATTCCGTTTAGACCACTGGATCAATAAAAATGCCCCAATGTAGATCTTATATCTCAGAGAGGAATTTGTTCTGACATTTGGCTCCACCCTTCATTATAATGTTTACTGTTTCCATTAAATTCAGAGATGCAGCTGGACCCTTAATGTAATCCAGACATGCATTTTAGAGACTTACTGTTCCTAATTAATTCTACAGCATCTTAACTGTACTCAGAATATCTTACAAAAGGATTTGCTGAGTTGATTTAAAGAAAAAAACCCAAAATGTGAGACTATGTAAATCTACGTAACACAGGCCTATCCAGATACATAAGCAATTGTAACAGAGAAATATCTGTAAAGAATACTTCTGTCTCAGTGGCAAACATGTGGGATTGGCAGACATTTAATGAAAGAAAGAGCAGACTGACCTCATCATAGAAATCAGGATTCTGGGAATGATGCAGCACAGCGGTGTAGGCTGCCGTTGTAAATAATGGTCCACCTGGCTTCCCATAAATACACTGATAAAAATAACATGCTTTAATTACATTGTGAAATTCTGCTGATGATATTAGTCTTGGTATATCTAATATGTATGTACATTGAAAACAATATCATGAAAGATTGATAATTACTTTGATCAAATATTAAAAGAAATATTTTAAGCGCTCAAACCAGCAATTTTTTTATACACACTTCCAGTAAAAGTCCATTGATTCTGTGAAAATCGCCCTACACTCTACTAAGCATTGCAGGCTCCTTAGACTTCCTTGCTGTTATCAATTTCAGGCATTTCTGCAAAAAGCTTTACAAAAGCTATTTCACTTTTATGCAGTTCAATAAACAATACAATGCCTTTTCTGAGTTTTCAGTGTTACAAAAGCTACTCCAGTTAACAATCTCCTTGCTGGCAGAGACCAGTCTGGAGGCTCTTGATTATTGAGTGACGGCAACTTTATTTAATGGTGGGGAAACTACAGTACAACACTATGCAATAGCCCTTGGTCAATAGCAAAATTAAGAATTAAGTCTAAGATTCTTCTAATTTTGTGCCTCTCTCTTCAATCAAGTGTCCTGAGCTCAGTGAGAAATGTAGGGTAAATGGTAAAGTTTAGAGTAAGCAAGTTGCGCTGTAAAAAATGGTGAAGTTTTCTAATATTGTCTTCTTTCCCCTCCACCAGTCAGAAAGCTGGCAGTGCAAAATGGCACTGTGAGCTGGAATCAGTATGACCAGCTGGGATCAAACAGAACCACAGTGCCTATGTAGAAGGATGCATGACAACATTCAATCTTTAATGACCTCAGAAAAATTGTTCTCTGAATATACTCTTGTTGGGGCTCACCTTCAGTGGCTTCGCTCCTTCTTCATCAGAGCTTTTAAATTCAATGCACACTGTTATATTCCGTGCCTGAAAAGACAGGAACATATTAAAGCTTAGATCAGAAATGGGGTACACTTAAAAACAGTAGTACTCAAGTTTCATTTAAGAACTACAAATATTATCCAGATTTATTTTATCTGCACACATAATTTCATTAAAATACAGCCCTTCTGAAAATTGTGAAAAAGCTGTTACCACATTATCTCTCTCTGATTCACTGATACAACTTAATTTTAATCCATAGATTCATTTCATTAAAATTGTACCAATGTTTTATGATTGCACAAATTGAAAAAGATCAAAAGCCAAGGCGGTGACTCGCATCACCATTTCCCCCTCCTTTATGATGAGTACCCTTCATTTTATGAGAGCTCATGCAGTACACTACGACACCATGTTGGCCTGAACTGGTCACATACTGTACCTTGTTGAAGTATTTTTGGCTGTCATATTTGAGGTGTTTTGGATATATGTATATTTGGTTCTTGTATACTCTGTAAGGTCGAGAATATTTTGTTGATTCCTGTACAAACTCCTCAATTTCCACAGTAGGTTGATGCTCCTTTATGTCATTAAATGGCTTGATTGGAATAAAAGACGAAGTTACACAGTCTTCAAAAGAACAGAAAAGAAAACCATCACATATTATGTTTGTTTTTACAGTCTTGCTACTAAGAATAAGTACTATTGAGATGGAACAAGTAAAACCCTGCCTTAAATTGCATTCATTTTACCTCAGAACAATTACAATGTATTATCCTTAAATGCTTTATCTCACTTGAGTTAAACAGTACAGCACTGAAAGCCTCTTTTCACACACACAGTATTTGATGGCATTTGATGGCACAACAGCACCATTGGTATACGGACAGTTTCAACAGAGTGTACTGAAGTGATGCTGTTTCTAATTAACTTTACAGCTCTATATCTCATTTAAGTTTTTCTATTATCTAATAACATAGTAAACGAAATGAAGAAACAAGTAGTGCAGAACTAGATTAAATACATGATGCAATTGGGATAACTGAAATCAGATCAAGAAATGGAAGATGAAAATAAGCACTCTGTCACCCAGACAGGGAGAGAGTAAAAACAGATAGAGTATACTCTGTCTGCCTGCGCCATTAAGTCAGTGAGACATTTAACTTCAGCACGGAGAACTCAAGGGCTGTTTGCACAAAAGCAGCTGAGAAGGGCCACCAACTTAGGGATGTCCTGAGCTATTTCGGGGAAAAGTAATTTGAAGGTCCTACCTACAAATTCATTCCTCAAACCCCACAATAACCCACAGGAAAAGCCTACCAATTTGTGGTGAGGAAGCCGAAAGAAGCTGGTGATCCCTCACATACACTATGCCCAATGTTACTTCCTTCTAAACTAGCACAAGAGAAGATTGCCAGTTCCAGGATAGTGCAGATCCTCTGCACCCAAGCAGGAGGTGGGAGCAGCTATAGCAGGGTGGTTTCTCTTTGCTTTCTTTCAAATAGACTTTCTTTCCAGCCTGCTGCCCACCAAAATACTAATGTGTCTGACTTATACACCCAGCCAACAGACATAGCTCCTGAATTAAGCTGGAAAGATCCATATGTGAAAACTTTTGTGTCTTTCCCAATCAAAATCAGCAGCAACAAAAGGGAACAACTAAATTAAATCACTTGCATTTGTCAGCTAGAAGCGACCACTGCTTGCTGTAGAGAAGCCTTGAGGTTTATTCTCCCCAGCACCAGCTATAGTTCCCTGTAGACGGTCAAGCAAATTCTTCTGTTGGTCAGTGATGATATTCAGGGTCATATACAAACTTTTGAAGGTTTGCTCTTCTACTGCTAACATTCCCAGTACTTGGGAGACCCTGCTCACTGCTCTTGGCCTACAAAGCTAAGACAGGCAGCTTCCTGTCAGCAAATGTCAGGCAACCCATCTTAAAATATGAGGATGTGTTATGTCTTATAATTTGGCCAGCTGCCCCTCAAACCTTGTTTATAAGCATTCTGATTTTTGAACATCATTAAACTTGTTTTTCATTAGAGAAATCCGGAGACCAACCCAAGGATTAGAATGTAGCGCTAAGGCCTCTCTGTGCACACTGTAGCCTCCAGCAGCCCGTCAAAAATCCACAGGGAAATAGAAATAGTGTTGAACTGAACACAAAAAGGGAAGTAATAAATTTTTAAGTACCAATAGCTCAGATAGGAGAGTAGCAACAGCCTGTAGACTGTGAGAAGAGGCAGTAATAACACAAAGAAGCCAGCTAGAAAATGGAGGCTCCTGAGCCAGTAGCGAAGGTCTGGTCTCTCCGTGCCTCACCTCCATTGCACAGGCACACACACGGAGGCAACAGCCCAGTGTGCTGCCAGCCGCAAGGCTCTTGGCTACAAGCTACTCTCCGTGACTGTCTTTCACAAGAAGGAAGCCTCACAGTTTGGGGTTTTAATGGGTGTTTTAGGGCTGAAAGCACCAGTACCTGCTGCCCTGTTGCCAGCTTCAGGGCCCTGACCTTCCAGCAGGGACCAGGCAGCAGAGGTGGGAGCTTCAGGAAGCTTTTTCTCTCTTCCCCTTTGCTAGAGCTACGCAAGTTTGGCTTCCCCTCGTGCAGCAGAAAAGGCAGTTTCGTTTGAGGTTAAACACTGTCAGACAACATCCCCTGATACACCACCGGCTCCAGCTGTTGTTGTAGCTATAGTAAACATAGTCTTATAAAAACAAAGACCTACTTCTGTTGTCTAATGCAAAGTGATGCTAATGTGAAGCAGGGTAGTGTTGGTCCCTAGAGACACAGTCGTACTGGCAAAGTCTTGACAAGATCTTTGGCCAACTTCCTTTCCAGTGGCTTTTCTTGGCAATAAAGGATTTTAGCACTAGCCTAGCATGACTTATTTTGGGTGGGAAGGAGGTGTTATAAGAGAACTGGTTACTGCTATTACGAGGCTTCCTTCAGAGCTGGCTCAAGTCCAGAAGAGTTTTCATGGAGATTTTAACAAATCCTACAGCATGGAAGTTTTCTGGTACAGTTTTTAAATTATTTTACAGCCTTACTCAGAGTAAAACAAACTTTCCTCATACCAAAGAAATATTTACACTGTTACTCTTCAGCGTAAGGGAATTTTCAATGACTTTCCACAGGAACTGGGCACTTTACTACCACTTACCCTTCAAGCCAGACTTTCACTTGGCCACAGTGCACACCGAGTCAGGTAACAGTACAAGGCCCAAGCGGCTTTGGACCATTTTTGCCTACTCTGAGCTATCAGTTTCTTTTAATTTCAAAAATAAAAATTGCTTTAGAAATATTAGTGAAACTATTTTTTTAACCTAATACCACACGAAGACGGTATAAAGATGTGTGATGATAGACTTTGGAGGAATTCAATGGTCCTGAGCTTTTTGCAACAGTGGGTCACAGAAACGTGGCCCTTGAAACAGAAAATTTAAAAAGAGATAAAAGGATCCAGTTAGAAGCACCTATCTTAGCAGTTGCTGCACTGATGCCAGAGTGGCCTCTGAATGAAGTCCTCCATCTAGTCTGCATTCTTGAAATCTGCTGCATGTCCCACACATGAATGTGAATCAGCATGTGCTAATTCACAGAGCATATGAGCATCACAGCCCATCAACAGCGCGAGGCTTTTAACCTCAAGCTACAGAAGTCCACTCAGCTCTTTGGCCTAATCCCTTAGAGACCAAAAAGTGGTCCTTGGACTTTCATCACAAGTGGATTCAGCATGTTGTGTTCTGTGTTGCTGGGGTATATCTGGCCAGGTACAGGACAAAACAAAGAATAGTGTGATTAAATGAAAACAGATCAAGGACACTCCCCTGCATACATTTTTCTATACAACAAGTGACACTTCTACCAGACCTGTCTCAAGGCAGAAATTGTGGCTGGAAAGCCTACAACAATGTCCTATTTAATTATAATAATTAGAAAGTAGAATCATACTTGGATGTTCCAAAGGAACACAATCAACTGAAATCTCCAAGCAGCCAGGTATAGTCTGTATTTTGCTAATCTTCTCTGCTCTGCAATGACAGAAATGAAAACATTTTAGAAAATTAGAACAAGGGAGATTAGACCCATCATAGGAATTAATCTAAAATGAAAAACAGACCCTGATTGAAGATATAAATATATATTAAACACCTATATATAAACCTTTTGGCTATTAAACTCACATCAAATTCAACAGCAATAAAGAAACATGGTTTGTGGGAGGTTTTTTGTTTGTTTTTTCTTTTTTTTTCCCTTTCTTGGCCTTTTTTCCTGCCTTCTCTTTGCAGGCAATATTATAGCATATTTTGTAGAAGAGGAAGAAACTGATGAACCAAACCTTATGAGAATTAGCTTACCCTCTTTTTCATTCTAAAATCTGAATCAAATGTTCTCTAAAGGGAATTCAATGACCACTGAGATGAGAGGAGTTCACAGTATCATGGCTTCTGCAAGTGCCATGCTGAAAAGGGACCAAGATATATTCCTCATGCCCAAGCAATTTGAGAAGTGCCAAAACTGTGATGCTAAATTCCTTTTATCTAGGAGATGCCTTAGACAGACAAACCCAGCAGTGGCAACTCTTATTAGAGTAGTGAGAATTTCAGTGAAGTTTCCTGACCAGTAACAGTAAGATGGCACAAGAAATTAAGGGCCCAATCCAATCCCTATGGTTGACATTCAATCGCTTTATGATCTGATTTTATATAAATGGAGCAGAAGAAGTTAATGAGACTAATTCATTTCTAGGCACATTTAGAGTAGAAGGGACAGGAAGAAATTCATGCTTCAATTCTCATGTCACTTATCCAGCATAAACAAAGACTCTGCTCTAGAATTAACCTGATTTACACCTGTGTGGGAGACTATCCAGCCAATCCGCTATTCACTAATTTACGCATTGTCAAACATTTGGAGAAGCTTTTTCCTTCCAATGTCCACTCTGCAGTTTGTCATGGAGACTCAAACAAACAAAAGCAACACATAGGGAAACCATTAAAGAATGCTTTTTCATTTCTCGCTCTCTCTTTTTTTAATTCTTTTTTTCCCCTGAGATAATGTTCTCTTGTTGGTTACTTCACATACATCTTCCTTGATAGAAGCTAATTTAAGGACTTGCTATCTTTAGGTTATAATAACATTTATTAATATGCCAAATACCATTTCAGTTTTCCTGGAAAGTCCAACCTAAATCACTCTTTGGCAGGCAATAGGCTAATGTGAAAAACACTAATTTAATATGGCCACTTCAGCACACTGTGTTAAATGAAGAAAAAAACCTGTGAAAATTATTCTGCACAGCTTTATAAAGCTTTCAATCCTTCTCAAACCAAATTAAAAACTGTTCCTTACCTTCTATATTCTGCTATTAGTTTAATCAAATCTTCCATGGAAATCTTATTACTTTCTTGCCTGAACAAAGGTGAGAATCGGGAGTCTCTGTCAACATTTCCCTGATTATCTTTAAACACTGGTCTATAAAGAAAGAAAAATGACATGTTTATAAACACTCACCCAAACATATATTTGAACATTTGAAATTGTCATGTAATCTTTTAACAAGGTTATGATACGAATTCTTAGACAGATTCAAGGACTCCCTGCAGAACTTCACACCAGAAAGCTCTTCCAAGCCGTACATTTGCAGGAGCACAGGCAATTTCAGTTTACTTGCATGTGCAGTCCCAGCCCTGCAAAGACTTAAGACCTTGTTTAATCTTACACGAGGCAGACAGTCCCTGCTGACCTCAGGTGCAGCGTGACTGCTCACGGTTCAGAGTTGCTGGGGTTCAATGCTAGAACAGATCACCATCTAGTTCAGCATCCACCATTTCCCCCCGCCTCTTCTGTAGCTATGTCTCACTTGAGAAAGCTGGAAGTGTACAGCACCTCACCAGGGCCAGCTCTCTGCTCCCACCCGCCCCTCCATCGCCCTGGCTGCAAGGCTGCCTTCTCCAGCCTCTCTCCAGAGAGGCCACCCCGGCTGAGAGCCACGAGCCCTGAGCCTGCTGGGACTTTACCATCTTGCTCACATATCAAGGACCTGACTGCTCACTTCAACAAAGAGACTGACTCTTTATTTCAAGGAAGTATTTTGAAGAATTCATTACATCAATAGGTAGTTTCGTCCAAGAAGTCATTATCCAATGAAAATCGTGATAATTTTAAATAACAGAAATCACAGCGAGATGTCAAATCCCAACTGCCACATCTCACCACGTAAAGAAACGTATGCTTTTGCAGAACCAGCTTAGACACATCTATTAAATCTTCCTATGCATTAGATCTGTTCTGTGTCCTCCAGGAACATGACACCAACTCGCTGGGGCTTAGCTTTCCTTCACAAAACAAGTTTGTGGAGTATGGACCAAATTTTTGGTGAACCAGCTACAAAGTGTCAAATGAAATGGAAAAAAAAGGATATCCATCTATAACTGGGAACAATAAGTATCAGCTGTTGTGCACACAGGAAAACATTCCTAGATATTTCCACTTCTGCTCATTGACACTTGCAGGATTTAATTAAGACATTCCAGTACCCTTTGTATAGCCCCAAGGGTCACACACGCTGGTTGGACTGGATAACATAACAGCTATCCAAATTAATGAACCTTGGATTCAACTGTAGTATGCAAAAACATTGCTTAACAAAAGTAAAATGTTCTTGACACTAAGTGCTGTTCTGTGAATCATTTGGCCAATCTTGCTTCCTTAATTTACTTCTCTGTTCCACTGCCAGTGAGAAGAAGAATTGATGCCAGCACAAATTGTTGCCAGATGCAAAATAATGGAGTAAACCTTTGGAAGAGGATCCCAAGGATAAGTATAAATGCACCGTGGCTTAACTTAATTAACTGAGAGAAGCACTACTATTTCATTTCTTTGTAACTGTACAGAATAATCAACTCTCTTCTATCAGATTTTTGCCTCCAGCAGCTAGAGGAAATAAGGCCCACACCAACATGCCATGTCAAATATCTTCAGTTATTAGGGAGAAACCAGACCTAATTTTTGGCAGCCGCTACTTACTTTACAAATCCTATTAAACTGCTGTCAGACAAAAAAAACCAGAAAGAAAAAAAGATAAGATTTAATAATTATTACTGTATTAGTGACACTATGATATTTCTTGGACTCAGCACTGCTTCCTTCTCCAGACTAACAGAGAGGACTGAAACATTCAGTGAGTGATTTCCACTGTGCCACTGGGCCCTGCAATGTGATACTGAGCAAACCCAGGCTCTGCTGGAGCTTATTAACTAATTCCAGTGCAGGCTCTGACACCGAGCAAACCACTGCTCGGCACAGCAGGGTGCAGGGGCACTTAGCAAGGCAGGGTTGGGGATGTTCATAGTGCCAAAGGAAAAAAAAAACAGGTCTGTGCTGGAAGTAGCTCACTCTGGGTCAGTGGTGCTGACTGCTGAGGTGTTAATTTAGGGCAAAACAAATGAACAGATTTCACTAAAGAAACTGAAACATCATCTCAGTATTTTAAAGTGTTTCTATGATTCTACTGTTCTGATATTGTTAGCTGATAGTCCACAATCATAAAAATTCTTTAAGCACGGAAATCCTACACAATGTTTGTAATTTAATATTGAAAAAGCTACTTTTAAAGTAGTGGCTTCTGATTTGTGGAAAAATTGCTCACGTCCAGGGTTAGAGACTCATTGTGAGATCTGCAGCTACTGTAAATGAGCTACAGCAACCTACACCAGCTGAGAACTGAACCAGCAGCTGCACAAGCCACTGGAGGCTTCAAATATGAGGCTCTAAAACATGAAGTTTATGAGGGTGGAGAAGGTTTGAAGGAATAGCAGAGTGTAAAGACTAATCTCTGAGTGAAGTTTCCCCACATCTACAATATGTAGCTCAGACACATATTTGCAAACTGTGGCAGTTCTGGCAGGAATATGAGAATGGAAGATGGATTTGACACACTGTAATTCTAACACATACCGTAATTATACCTGCGAGAGCATACAGACACCAGATCCCAGCAATGCCAGCAAGAAATCAGGGAGGAACCCTGAGTCATGCTTTTGAACGATGCTAACAAACTGGATGCCGCATAAGGTAATTAAGAGTTTCAGTCACATGCACAATACTCAACTGTCAAGATTTTGGCTCACTGAATGTATACATAAAAATCACACTGTGGCTATCTGTAACTGCTTTAAGGGGGGGGGGGGGGGGGGGGCAAAATTTCCCCACAAAAACAGGAGTGTGGTTAATGCCAGAATGAAATAACTGGAAAATGCATTTCCAAACCCAGGGTTTTGCTATTTATCATAGCCAAACCATTTTTTCCCCTGTAGTGCAATAGCCTCCTGTGGAAACTTCTATTTTCAAGCTGTGAAAATAGAAATAGATTTTATAAGGCCAAATTATACTTTGCTTTTACCAAAGAAAGTCCTGAGTAGTGTTAATACACAAACAGATGTAAATGAGTGCAGAATTTGACCCAATGAACTAAATAAATCCCTTGTGGAACATCACTGATACCAACAAGTTCATACACGTGGTGTATTTGGTCAATGATTTTTAAACTATGTTATCTCATAATGTGATTTATAACGACAAAGTTTAAGAGCTGATAAACACACTCAAGTATATTTTCTGTAATTAATTCTACAGATGGGAGGAAAGCTTTTTAATGGTAAGGGCAGTGAAGCACTGAATTAGGATGCCATCCAAAAATACTGCCTGCTGGAACTGAGGGATGTCCACAAACCCCAGCTATGTCCTCTGCCCATGGGCAGGCCATCTGTGTAATGCACACACAGTAAGTCTGCAAAATGTTGAACTCACTGTGTATTTGCTAACGCCACAAGCATATATTCCCATTTATATTGGGGAAATCACAGCCAGAAATATTGGTTAGACAAACATATTCCGGAATCATTTGACCCTGTCCTAGGGAAAGCAAAAATACAGTATGATGCAGAGGTCTTTTCGATCTTATTTTCTAAGACTGTGGACTGCACATTGAAAAAGGAGCCTGCAATTTCAGAGAGAATACCCAATGTAACAAGTCATTGCCATCTCTGAAACTGAAGAAGTATGGAACTTGAGCCAAGGGTTTCCATCACAAGAAGTCTCAAGGAAACAGCCTGAGGAATGCTCAGACTCCCAGGTACTCCCATATCGACTGTCCTGAGCATCACACAAGCAAGCTCCTCTCAAACAGAGCTCTCTTGCTTTCGTCCTTTGCCACGTTCCAGCCCATGCTAATTAACCATTCTGCATGCAATTCCAAAAAGAAAATCTCTGTTCATTTACCCAAGACACACTGTTAGGTGCAGCAGCAGCAACTGCTGCCTCCACTTAGATGAGTAGTAGTAAAGTAGAGCAATTCATCTATAGAAAATGCTTCTGCTCACGTGGCTGTGGTGACTGGAAGCTGCTGCTATCACATACCATGTTGCTAGAACTCAAAAAACCTCACATGCAGGTTGAAATCTAGTGGAGCACTATTTATTAGTCAAGCTTGATCTAATGAAAATTTTATTCCTTACTCCAAATCAATGTGGCCCGTTACTACAAAATAAATTTATACAGTTATAATACTATGTCTGAGATGACCAAGGAGTTGCCAACTGGTATTTTAATGATAAAATATCTGAAATAACATAGAACTGAAAGAGGAGGAGAATTTTCCGAAAAGCACTGTGTTCTCAGTGCACCCTAGCTTGACGGGCATTTAAGGTGCTATCCACCTTAAGGGATAGAAGTAAAAGTCCATTCATGTCTGTCAGACTTCTCTTAGGCAGAGCAAGCGCAGACCTGCGGTACAATCCTCGCCGAGGCACAGTACTACGTAAGGCGCCTGAGCAGTACAGCCGCAGCACATCCACCTGCGTACCGGTACAGTACAGCACAGCCCAAACTCTGCTTCTGCCCACTCCCTCTCACCAACAGGCAACTAGTGGTTGCCACTTGAAAATCCTATGAAAGGGAAATGCATTTCCTTCAAAATAAGAAGAAAAACATTTCTGTATTTTCTTTTTTTTTTTTTTTTGGCAAGGAACACTCTGAGATAAGATTTGCTGAAGATGTGGAAGCCTTTTCCACATGCATGAGTGACTAGCCAGACCCTGAACTAGTTAAAATCATCATGCTACCTAAAGATAGCTACAGCAATGACTGAGTTGCAGGAGATATCACTGATGGTACCGCCACAGACCGCAGGTAGGACAGAGTTAATAAAAAGCCGCAAGTCAGTCTGACACCAAGCCTGCACCTCTTGCCATTGTACGGTCCATTACACGCTAAAAGCAGCTCTGTCAACCCAAGAGACACCCAGCAATATAATTTTGATGAATGGTCCTTTGGCTACATAGAAGTAATAAATATTAATGAGTATCCTTGAGCTTGCGATGACAGATCAGAACACATTATCTTTCTCTTGACCATGCACATACTTCTCCTGTTCCTACTGGATATTGACAAAAATGTATATCAATAAAAAATAAATGAACGCTTCAAATGGCCATACCTTACTGTGTGTTTTCTTCTTTGCCATCTAAGCACAATATTCTAAATTCATAAGCTTTCCCCTAGATGTGGCAGGGGAAATTGTGTATTTCTGGTGCTCCACACCAGAAGCACACAGCTATCCCTCATGGTCACGGGCCATGCCACAACATGACTTTTTCACCTAGCACTCGTTCCTCCTGCCTCTCTATAGCTTCAGGCAGCTCTCCACCTGGCCTGCCACAGTCAGAACAGAAGCCACAGGGGAGAAGGAATGCTTTCACTCGGCAATCAATAGCTTTGCTTTTTATAGGGAATATAAAATTGTATATTCCCTGCTCTATGCATGGCAGAAAGAAGGGAGACCTGTCACAGAGACACACAGGAGGGTCTCAGTCAGGGAGCTCTCTCATCCCAGGGCAGCGGTAAGCTGAGGAAATTACAGAACGAGAAGGAAAAAATGGAGAGGACAGAGAAAGGAATTACATGGAAACTTGAAGGGAGAACAAAAAGAAGAAAGCCATATCTGATCTTGCGAGTTAATTTGGTAGAAGGGCATCAAGAGGCACAGGGGTGCCTCAGTCTTGAGGATGAGGCCAGCAAGAAATTAGCCAGGAGGAGAGAGAGGAAGAACAGAAATCCATTACTGTCTCTGCACTGACCTGCAATAAAACCCAACTGACCTGCCAAACAAGAACATAACAGCTCTCTGTCACCTACTAACCACTAAAAATACAAGAGTACCTGAAGCATAATCCCTCAATATCACCCTCAAGGCACTGTTTTAGGGGCACCATAACCTCCAAATCCTTGGTTAGATTTTTCCTAAAACCTGACAGGCATCATAACAAGAACAGAGCTCCAAACTTGTGCACCTGTATTTCGGGTGGCCATTGTAACTCTATTTCAGACCATAATTATCTTCATCGGAAATTCTTGTGAGAACTGTGACTTTGAAATCTCTTTGGTAACTTTTAGCACCAAATCACTGGTGGAGCTCAAAATAAATTGATATTCTATCAGCCACCTTTGGTACTCCCTGGAAACTTCACTACATACCTGAAGAAAAGATTCCACCACAGTAACACTTAACGAGAAAGTAACCAACGTTCAGCTGTGTGAAAAATAGGGCAATGAAATAGTAAAGCTGCAGGATCTTCTTCTGGGGTCCTGGACCACACAGAAAGCTTTGCTTAGCTTCAGGCAAAAGAAGTGGAAAAGAATAAAAGGATACAAGTCCAAAAGCAGAATAAGCTAGAAGATGCTCATAAAAGTATAAGAAGAATTAATACATACCTCACTGACCAAGCAAATGGCATACGGTATTTTCCCAACTTGCTGCAGAACTGTTTATTGGATTTTAACACTTTCTGTGCACACTACAGAAAATAAAAGATTAATTATTATTATCATTACAATATCTGAAACGCACCACAGAGCACATCTAAGTACTCCTCTGCTGAAAACACTGTAGTGTCCCTAAAATAATTTAGCCTGATACTGCCCATAACAGATGGTTCTGGGTGGACAGCAAAGACATCACAGATGAATACGATGCTGCTGATGAATTAAACCCTTCACCATCCCTTCAGTCAGAAGTGCATTAGTTACAGTCATTACTCCAGTTTTCTGTACCCAATGCAGATGCAGTGCCTGCTCTCAGGGAGAAACCAGTTCCTACCCCAACTTTGCTTGTATATGAACTGCACTAACTCATAATTTCTGAAAGATAGCAGAGTGAAATTCTCTTTGAGTAAAGAAATAACTGGCATAGGAATGCACCATGGATGGATTTGGATGTTGCAGACAAAATTGGACTTCATTCAATCAGTCAATGGAGCTTGGACATTTGCATTCTTAGGCGTGGGCCTCTTGTGAGCTCATCCTGTTCAGCAACCCCAAACTGGTGAGATGTGTGAGCACAATTTGCAATGTCTTCAGCTTCCAATAGGCTGAAGCTGACAAAGAAAGAACTGATGTTCCTCTTACATTACCTTAAAAGAATCAGGATTCTTAATGTAAGGTTCAGCACTGCTGGCAATGTTTCCTGTAAGCACCTTTTCTATTTTTGCCACTAATACGATCTCAGAATGTGGATTACTTATCGAGAAAAGAGCCTGTGGATAAACAAGAGAACAGTTAAAAAGTATATAGCAATACTGCAGAAATGAAATACTGCCAGTGCTCTCTGTTGATGGAAACAGTAACAAAGCAAATTCAGAAAGGATTACTGAGGATTATCATCTCTACATATTCAATACAGCCAGATGGAAAATAAAATCTTTGTGCTAGTGCTGCAGTAAGCTTGTGCACATGCAGCACCTTGCAAACAGACTGACTCAAGTCAAGAAGCAGTATGACTACGTTAGCATCACCTAACCTGTCTCTCTTGGACAGTACTTAAATGCTGGCATAAATCAGTCCCACCTCAGGGGAATGACAGGGAGAAGGAAGGGTAATGTACGGGCTTTCAGGGTAAGGCTTACATCAACAGCAGGAATATGGAAGTGCTTTGAGATGAATGCAGCATCTCGGTGCCGCTTTAAGTTGCAATTTTGTTTGGCTGATTGGGGAGAGGTCAGAAAATGAACCCAAACAGCACAGGAAACATGGGTGGTTTCTCTAAATAACAGACACTAACTGTTTTCAAAGTTTTGATTGTAAACAGGTTTAAAGTGTACATGGGGAGCTCAAAAATCAAGCATCTGTATACAAGTACCACTGATACACAAAAAAAAGAGTATTCTTGAAAACAAGAACCACGGGTAGTACAGCTAAATTCTCAGATGAAAATGAATACTAGTACTGAACTAAGTCACACGAGTCACTAAGTCATGCAAGACGCCTGTGGAATACCTGTTTTGGGTATTTCAGCCATTCTTCTGGGAACCCCTTGATCTGTGGTTCTTCCGTTTCATTTGAGTCCATATTTTCAACAGTGCCATTTTCTAATGAAAATGAGGAACCTGAAATCATCTGTCTAACGAGCGTGTGGTTCAAATCCACGTGAAAATCAGCAGAGATCTTCCTGCCATCCCTGACATCATACAGTGCCACGCTCACAAAGAAAGGCTCTACCTGGAGAAAACACCAGAAACATAATATAGCACTGAGAGCAAGGGGGTCAGCTCTATCTTTTAATAGGTTCCTGCAGCTAGAAAAAAAGAAAGCAAACAAATATTATTTACAAATTATGAGATTCATTAAAAACACACACTCACACACAGCCCTGCCAAAGTTAGTTTCCAACCATGTGGTTTCAGGGGCTTTTAAAAGTAGTTTGTTAACAACGCGCCAGAACAGTAATTGACAGCTAACTTAGAAACTCATAGAATAAAAAACAAATGTATTTGTCACAGATAATTATTAGAGCAAATGAATAGAGCACCAGAGAAACATGTTACAGGATTTTTAAAATGTAGATTCAGAGTCATTATAAAAGAAAGAAGAGCGAGGACGGGCTTCCCAGGGATCGTCAGAAATGCGGTACAAAGATGACAAATGTAAGTAGATGAAAAATGTTTACTGGTACAAACATAAATGCGTGGGTGTATTATTCTGTGGGAAACACATGTTCCATTTTAATAGGAAACCAAGAGCATTCAAACCGCTGTGACAGTACCCACTTATTCTACTGCATAGTGTCGGGGAATTAAATCCTATGACTGTAAGTAACCTCCAAAGAGGCTCCACAGTTCTGATGAAATAAATCAGTTTCAGAATAAGAATAGCACCTTCTGAGCTGTCCAGAAATCAGAATCTTAAAAATGTGGAGAAAGGGAACAATGCATGGCAGGTACAATATTCTATGCTTTTTCAGCCTCTGTAGTGAATTATTGCATGCCCTTGGTACAGTTATGACAACTTCATTTAAACAGTTATTCCAGTCTGCCAAAAAAAAGTATTGATTACATCATGCTGAATATGCACTCACTGTAGAGGTCATCTTCAAATGAAAAAAAAATAAAAAAAAAAAAATCAATGCCTTATATGTAATGTATGAAAGTTAAGTTGCCAGGACACTAATTTCTCAAAACTTTCCTGCTTCAGAGGAGAACTAACGACAAGCTATGGACTGACAGCTACACCTTGCTTTTCCCTGCCCCTTTTTTCTTAAAGTAAGAATAAGCAAAATTTTCTGGTTTGTCCTGTTTTTAGCTGGGCTTTTCCACTAGATGAAGCATCCAGTCCTTTCCATTTTGTCTTCTCCTCTGTAATTTAATCTGCTTGGTTCCTGGTGTCTCTGTGAAAAACCAAAACCCAGTTCACCAGCAACTGATACTCAGTTGCCTCCCTACATAGTTCTTAGCAGTTTAAACTTGTTCTTATAGCAATTGTTAAGAATCCTCAAGGATTTTGTAATTTTTAATTCCCCACCAAACTGCAGCTAAAAGTCTGCAATCTAAATCAGTTTCAAAATGTTTATTAAAAAGTTCATCGGTTTCATTATTCAATCCAAAGGGATGGGCAGAGGAGGAGGGCAAATACAGTATGTGTGCATGATAAGGCTTTCCTTTTACCTTCTCTTTGCAAAGCAACAAGTGCACAGAAAGAGAGAAAAAAAGAAAGAAAAAGAAAAATCACTGGGAAATAAGTAAAGCTTACATTGGTTGAAGGATCATTTTCATTTTCAGTAACACAGGCCTGGAGATTCAAACTGAGGGATTTGCAAGTTATCAGGATCCTCTTTGCAGGCTTTTCTTCAAATGGCTTGATCACCGAGTTTGCCCCTGGAAACTCCTTTTTCTGAGGATTCAATGACTGAAATAAGTTGGGCGATTCATTACATATGAGAAAAGCATGGCATTCCAAAAGTAAGCAAGCCTTTTAAAGGTCCTGACAATCACGGAAGCACCTGAACACCTCTAAAAAGTCACTGCTGGTATCTTCACATTTACCATAGTAAAGGAGTGTTATTCCCAATTTATAGATTAGGAAGCAAAGCAAGAAGATTGCCTGAGGACGTACATAATGTCAGAGGCAGAATTAGGGATCCAAGTTAGGTTTCCTATAATTTTAGAAGAGATTTTTTTCTTGTTTACTTACTGCTTCTGAAACTTTAGGTTTTAATTTCCCCATATAGATTAAATAGCCTCATATTTTCAGACTATAACACCACATTTTATGATTAGATTTCAGACCTGTCCTCTCCCTTATACACCACTATTTCAATTCACTTAATATTTTTAATAATGGAACTACAGTTGATTGACAACAGGTTCAAGTTTGAATATATTCTGAATGTGATTTTATTTATGCTCTTTTTAACTAAAAAAGTTTCCAGTTAAATCACCAACAAGTGTATATTCAGTGCAAGGAATAACATTATTTGAATCATGAGCTCTGACACTAAATGATAAGCAAGCTGAAGATAAAAAGAAAAGCAACCTGCACTCCCTACAGTTCCAGCTAAATTTTTTTTCACATAGATAGCCTTTTGTACCTCCCCACTGCTTTTTATACCCATTCATGTTTTTGTAGTCAAATTCAGTGTATGAACAACAATAAAAACGTTCCCAGTCCAAGAGAAGGTTCTGCTCCTGCAATATTTGCAGTTTGCTTTAATGATTCAAAGCTTAGCTAGATGAGACTAGATGACCTCCAGAGGTCACTTCCATCCCCAACCGTTCTGTGATCAGATACGGGTAGAGTCTATACAAAAATCCCTATGAACTAGAGATAGCTCCCCTCACCCTTCAAAGCTGAAGTCTCAGGTATACCCAGTTGCTTGCTGAACTCCAATCCACTCTGGTGGCTTAGCCAACCCAGTTAGCTCAGACCATCTGTGTTTTAAAATTTCTAAGAACTTAGGGAAAAAAAAAAGTTCACTTACTGCTATATCAGGATCCAAAGAGAAAAGATTTAGTCGCTCTGTATTTCGAGAGGCTTTCACTGTTTCTTCTGTTTCTGTGATGTACTGTGGTGACAGATAATAAATTAGTTTTCTGTACAAGAACAGAAATCCATAGTTGTTAGACTTCTAAATGAATGATCAATGTTTCATTTGTAACAACACTTCTCATTTCTGCAGTAGTTATCCCAAAGCACCTTCAAGCACTCTTTGAAGGTTACATGCTTGTGAAGCAGGGATTTTCAGGCCATGATATACTTCTAAGGAACCCCAAAATAGATCAGTTGAGTAATTCAAGTTCATATATGTTACTAAAGAATCCATTGTATAAGATGCCAGAATAGTGGATCACTTTAGGGATTCCCCAGTCAAGGGAAAAAACAAACAAACCAACAGCTCCACAGAAAACTACTTGTGTCAAGGGGAGGGCAGAAAGGGGAGCAAGAAAGTGCAGCTCAGCCTTACAGGTGGGCAGACACTCAGATTGCAGTGCAGCACCCAAAGGTAAGGCTGGGAGTCCTCTCCCCATCCATCTTTCTGCCACAAGGCAGGATCAGTCACACCCGTTTTATTTCTGATGGACACGTGCCTAAGTTAATAATGAGCTCTCTGACAAAACCAACTCAATAGCTTCCTGAGGCCACCTGGTGCCTTCCTACTCTGCCTTTTAAAAGTTTATCCTTATGTCTAACTTTAAACATTTTTTGCCCGCTATTTAAGTCCATTCATCAAACATGTGAAGTATGCCCTACAGTTTCCCTTCCCCTTACAGATCCCTCATGATAGCTTTGAAAACATTTTTCCCAGTCTAAACATTCTCAATTCCTTCAGCCTTTCTTTGTACTTTGTGTTCCTAACTTTTCTTTATTTTTCAATTTCTGAACTATTAACAGAGTCCACAACTTCTCTGGTTTACCCCAGACTGAGTACAATCCTCAGCTGCATACTACAGGCTACGTTCTTGTTCAGGTCCCATGCAACGTTTTGTGTTTTTCACCATAGTATGACATTGCTGACAGACATTAAGTAACAAGAAGCAGCAGCATAGCAAGACCAAGAGCTCCATGTTGACTTCCTAACACACTCCACCCATGGGCTGACTTGCAGAAGTAGGTCCTGCTGTGTCGCTGGTGTCCTGGTTTAGGTAGAGATGGGATCAGGAGATTTACCTGCCATGGACTATGGACAGGCCACAGATCGCTGCTGCAGCCAGGCCTATAGAGCAAGGGGGAGGGAGCAGGAATTAACCATATAAAGGGCAATACAAACATCGCACAACAACATGCAGACCATCTATTTTAGCCTTGCAGGCTACCAGTGGCCTTTGAGACATCTTTAGGGCACCTTTGAGATATCTGAACTAAATCATTAGAAAGTATTCATCCACAGATGAGGTGATCAGATACTACTGTCGTCCTTAATACATAAACTCACAGTTACATTTTATCTGGTTGTTTTGGAGGTTTTTTTTGTTTGTTTTTAAATTCTAGGTGACCCCCCCATATACATGAATACAACACTACGAATGTAGACCAAATTCTGTCCTCGTTAGCATATACAGCTTTCACTTCAAATCTGTGGGAGTAACATCTTCAAATAGCATTTGGCTGTGTAGATAGATAGTATCTATAGTAGCTCACTGACAGGAGATTACAAACAGATCATACATTCATTTAAGAAAACGCAGTGAAATATTTCTAATCTAGCTTTTCATCAAAAAGCTTCTTAGCACCATCTACAATTATCTCATCCACATGAAGCAGTTTATGAGATCCAGAGGACAAAACACCTCCCCTGATACTAATGCATCTTTCAACAAAATTACAGAAGGCAATGAGCAGTTCACAGCTCGTTTCCTTGCAAGTCACTCAGGAAATCTTGGTTCTCCAAGGGCCAAACTCTTCTGAAATGCAGTTAAAACCAGTAAATATTTCACAGATAACTGCAGGGACCAGACCCTTACTGACTTCACAGGTCTAAGTCAAATCACTCTAGGGAACACCTACTTTCTTTACACCCAGTGGAGCTTTTCTCATTTAAAAAAGCCATCAGCCATTCAGAAAAAAATTCTTCCTGTCATTTGTCACAGCTCTAACAATCACAACGGGGTGTGCTATATTTTGAAACCTTTCACAATATTAAGGATCATCTATTGGCAAGCATTTTTCACCTAGGTCGTACTTTCCACTAGGCTCATAAAGGTAAATATAACATCCATTACTTTTGCGAAGTCTGGGTGCAAGGTGTTTTCTGATGAATCAGTCTCTTCTTGAGAGCAATCGTAATTCACCAAAACTTCAGGGGGGTCTTGAAAAGAAGAAAAAAATAAGCAAATATTTTTATTATACTTTCTATTACCATTGGGTTTAACAAAAAAAAAAAAAAAAAATCTATCCTCATGCTATTTCTTTTTATTCCCTTTAGTATAATCAGGCTAACAAATGGAAGAGCTACTAATATAAACCTGTCCTCCTCAACCTCATCTCCCACTGATGCTTACTGTAACTTAGTCCATATTTAACTTTTCAAACAAGAGGCCTTACTCTAGTCAGTGTCAGCCTGACACCTTCATCCATGACAAATATTCACGCCCACAAAGACACCTTCCTTTGCGCTCTCAGCCTCTTCTGAGGCAGCACCAAGGGTTTATGTCAACCAAAAGATTTTGGACTCCCAGTAAAAGGAGTCTTCAGTGAGGGAGGCAGGACCTTACCTGCTCTTTGGGAAGGGGAGGGATGCAGTCTGGACTCCATGAGCTGCAAATCTACAGATCAAGAGAACAGCACTATACAGCAACCCCTTTGCTTTACTTCACTCACCAGAGACCGTTCTGCTTTACCTAGGTAATTCAGCCCAATGTGAAATAAGTCATTACAGCCATTTAGGGGTCTTCTGCCAAGAAAGCATCATGCCTTCTGACAAGTTAACTCCACAGCACATTCCTGTTGCTTGTTATCAGGGGTTTTACCAGTAGAGACTTCTGTTTTCTGTTAGCCTTATGGCTTTGACCTTTTATGCACATATTTCTTCCTGTTTCATTAATATCCCTTACGGGTGGGATTTTCAAAAGTACTTCTCTGATTCTGAAGTGCAAGTCTCTTGTGCCTCCAAATTATAAAACCACCTTTGGCTATATGAAGAGTATCTTGTCCCTCCAAAATCAAAATTGATTACAAACACCAGGCTAAAACCTTCAATTAGTTCTGAACTTCCCCAAGATTCAGATGCATGTGGATTCAAAGTTTGATTCAGCTCAGAGCACAAGCAGTTCAAATCTATATTAAGGTTTCAAGTGTTTTCAGTCTTAGAATTTCAGCTGGGGTTCATCCAAACTGAACATGGATTTATTATGTGGAAGAATGAGTTGCTGCCACATGAAGAGTGCAGTATTACAAAGCATCCAATTCTTTCTTCCACGGTGAAAGCATATTAATACATAAACTGACAAAAGCAAGAAATGAAAAGTCAATAAGCTTCCAGGGACAGAGCAATATACCACAGCTAGGATTTTTTTTAATTATTAGCTCCAGATTTTTAAAGAAAACAAAACACTGGAAAAAGAACCGATCTGACCTGTCTCCAGCACAAAACTCTTTAAAATCTTCAGACTCCCAAGACAGTAAAACACAAAGTACTAGTGAGAGCATTGACAGAGAGGACTATATTTAAAGAAGGGCTGTATATGCAAAGCAGAGCCACATTGCTCCTGCTCACTTTGTGGGAAGCAGCTTTACCTCCCCCACAGCCTTTTGAAAATGATCTGTGGGGAGTTAGCTGACATTGCTTGGGGACTGCCAGAAGACTGGTGCTGCTTCGTCAGAAATCAATAGGTGCAGAATCCATTACAGACTCAGGCAGTTAAAATGATTCAATAGTGATCGCTGAAGGTTCAATTTTTTGCATTTGATTAAAAAAAACCCCAAAAACAACAACGCAAGAGACTATTCACTCTTACCAAGTTTCAGATCAGTGAGATCTGCACTTTTCCTCTCCTGAATGGTTCCCTCTGGATTTATTTGTAGGATTTTGTTGAGAGTGAAAATCCAGTCATCCATATCCTGTTCATTTTCAGCTGCCAGCACAAAGTATGTGAGGTCATTCATTTTCAACTCAAAGGCATGTTTCCTAAGCCTGTTATTCTGTTGGAACAAAAGGAAAAGAAAAATAAACACTAGAATTAATTATAAAAAGGTACTGAAAAAGGCATCCATAAGATGGACTTGTACATGGCCACTCCTTAAAAATAACATTCAAGCGAAATTCAGTGACTTTAAAGAAAATCCCAGTAGTGTGATATTAACGCAAATTTATGTCCATTTATTGTTGGGTCTTGGTGCATCTAAGATCTTCTGTGGCCATCTTCTAGTTAGCCATAGAAATCTAAGACTATGGACAATAACACTTCAAACTACAGTAGGGAATGCCTCCCAAGTGGAATAATGAAAGACCTCTGACGGTGAAGTACAGCATTGCTACACGAGTCGTAGCTGTCTGGAGAGAACATCTCTAAAGCCCAAGTCTCCTACACCGATACAGCACACCAGATACTCAAAAAGATACTAAGTAGTGCTAAGTCATACGAAAATTTGCTCAGTGGGAACAGGACTGAGTTCACCAAATTCAAAGCAGCAAGCAAGCAAAGTCAGCAAGCGGCCAAAGACTATTCCTTCTCTGACTGCTGAGGTTGGACCTGAATAGATTAAAACTGTGAAGAATTTCTAAAATCTTCTGTTTTGAGATATTTAGAGATGCTGCTAACAAGCTACATAGAGGTAACAATTTCTAAGCATCTAATGAAGTTAGAAACATTGTGGTTAGGATGAAAACATTTCTACATAATTTTATTTTTATATTTTTTGGAAAGAGCTTCTGGATGATACGAGTCTAAACTTGGAATACAGATTTACCAACAAATCTCTCCAGAAGACTGCAACAGGAAAAATTCCATGTGGAAAGATTACAATGGGTAATTCCCACTGCTGCCTTTGTGTTAGTAGAATTTTAAAAACGACCAAGGCGATTTCAACAATTCTTTGCAGGAGGCAAAAGGTGAGGTATACAGCTGTTCAGTCATTGCAATGCTATCCTTTTCAAGTATAGAATAAAAACAAATGCCCAGTATAATGGAAATAGATTGAGTTCTGAGAGCCGTTCTGTATCACCAGATGTAACCTGCAGTAGATGGTTAATCCATCGATTTCTGTCATAAGAATTAACAGGTGCTTAGTTACTGAAACAGCTCAATAAAATTAAACAATGTGATCTAATATAATGAGCTCCATTTCTCAAATTATCAAATTAGTGAGGCTTTTATCTCTTAGTCTTATGGAAGCAGTTGCATCAATTGTCTCTCCTCCTTGCTTAAATCTGAAAGCACACTGACGCATCCTACCCCCTATTCATCAAACTTACAACCACTGACTATGGACATCAGTGCCACTGTTCCGTTTTTGTTATTCCAGAAAATTGCCATCACTTTGTTGACTCGTCTAACCTTGGAGCGATGCTGACAAATGAAAAACAATTCATCTACCCCATAACTGGCCATTTCACTCAATTTTGGTTTTCTTCATTAACAGTCTCAAATAACATGACAATGGTATCCTGCAGTTCTACAGACTATAACTATTTCTTAGTACAGATCTATAATAACAAGTTAATCAGAATAGCTTCTAAGCTAGATGGTGAGATGATAGTGACATTTTTATTTAAGAGGAACAGAGACAAAATCTGATACTGATTAGCGGAGGAGGAGACTGAGAACCCAAGACACTGAGAATAAAGTTCCATGAACTTTTTTCTTCCAGCAGCAGAGATGATTTAGAAGATTCCTACCCAATCTGTTGTTAATCACTTACTCCAGTCCTTATATTACATGTCATGACCCAGCTCAGGAATCAGTTAAGACTGAACAACTTCTTCTGGAGCTACTTGAGTCAACAGAGTCAGTCAAATCTTGGCTTTTCAAATTGACTTGGGATTGTCTGTGTGTATGTGCATGCGTGTGTGTTAGTTTTTAGTTCTGCTACTGGAAATTCTTTTGGTAGGAAATAGTTTTCCTCTCAAGTACTTCATTGAGGTGAACATTCTTTCAGGGATAAAATTTTAGTTCACCCAACATAGGGTAAGAATAGGGCTGGGTTTTGTAGCAATTGGTTCTCGGGTGTCTAATATTTTTCTTGATTCTGAAATCTCTCTAATCCTCCAATAACTGCATACATTCAAATTAATGTAAAACAAGGACTAAAATTCCACTGAAACTTGTTTTTACTGATATAACATGACAGCTTGACTAAGAGCTAGAAGTTGACCAAATATGCCAAGAATCTTGGTAGGGGCCATTCAAAACTTTTAAAGACAGATTATTTGTATAAGTGGATTGTGTATACCACTTTATGCACAATCTATAAAGAAAAACACTATGTTTCAATTTATCTTCAGAAAGTACAGACAGCATTAAAATGAATGTGTTTCTTGTCTATATTATGTAGTCCCCCTTACAGACATGGCCTGTACTGTACTGTAAATCAGGTACTGTAACACCATTAGACATTATCTAATACAGCAATACATCTTGCATGCTGAATTTTAAGAACATTAAGGCAGGAAAACTTCAATACCCACTTTTCCATCTGCACTTCAGACTTCTGGCAAGCAGATGAGCTCTACAGCAAAGCCTTTGTTTCAAATCTAAAGCCAACTATTTTCTTCCTGATCAGTTTACAGGGGGAAGAAAAAAAAAAAAAAGTAAAATTTCTCAGTTTGCTTCTCTATAAGTTCTTCCATATGGAATGTAGACCTTGAGGTTGACTTGTAATTTTCAACACTTAATTTCAAGTTTTAAATTTCTTCCAGAAGGAAATAATACAAGATTCAGAAAGAAACTATGGATGAGCTACAAATGAAACATCAGGCTAAGTCTAATGCCTGCAGGGTCATTCTTCCAAAATAACAGAATTGTTTTGGAAGTATTTTGTTTTTTATCTGGAGATGATTTCTCCAGGATGTTTACTACAATTTAGATATTCAACCTCTATCAAACACGAGCTCAAAGTCATTCACATAGAGAGTTAAATGATTTATAGTGGTATTAAAACTCATTAAACAGAACTTTCACATCATGGTTTTCCTCTAAATTTTCAGTTCTACCCAACTCTTTCTCCACATTCTATGGTCTCCTTGTTTATGGCAACTCTAAGCCAGGTTTTGTTTGTCGGCCCTATGATTCTAAGTTCATCACAGACTTTGATAGCTGGTGATACTTGCCCTATTACCCCCCTTGGCTAAGACTCTCCCTTCTTGCTTGTGCAGATAGCTCAGAAATTTGTGCCTCCCATTCTAAACGTCAAAGAACAATCGGGAAAACTAGTGTCTGGGGGTAGGCGAGAGGAGAGCGTGCAGTTCAAACAGTTTGGGACAATTTGCAGGAACACTGTCGATTTAGAAGGCAGCTGTCAAAGTTCAGGAAGAGGATTTCAAATGTTTCTTGAGCTTTTTTGCCAGAGGTTAGTCAAAAAGGCCAGAAATCTTGCAGTCAAGAGATTTCTGCTATCGTGCAGTGTCATCAGAAACAACACAGCAGAACTGGCATCCTCCGGGATAGCAGGAAATCTGTACTACAGGGAGGTTCTGGACTTAACTAGAGCTCTGGTTGAGACTCATCTTAAAAGAAAGCACACTGCCAGCAAGCAGGAGCAAGCATTAAGTTCTAAACAGAATTTCTGTGTAAGAATCTCCTCTATGGCTTCTGCTACACTTCCAAGCTACCTGTTGGGGTCTTTCCAGCCAATGAACTGACACAGACAAACATTATTGTTGTTCTACGTATTTATCTCCATCCTGTCCTACACCTGTTTGAAAAAATAAACACCCTTTTGAACTACACATGGGAAACAGTCATTCCTTACAGAGCTGGGTACTTTCTTGGGTGCAGGAATGAGGTTCTGCAGGGGGCCGTCAGCAAATACTTGTTGCCAAAGTGAATTACTGATTATTTTTCTTGCTCCAAACGGCCTGTTTAGGGGTAAAGGAGAGACCTCCCAACCAGCAAAAGCTTGTGTTTATCAGGGGTCTTCCCTGGCAACCTGAAAGGTTTCTTTCAAAGCAACCCTCAAATCAGTCTGCACTAGCACTGTTACCAATCTTTACTGGTTAAGCAGTAAAGAATAAAGTATAGCTAAAAAAAAAAAAAAAAAAAAAAAAAAAACCTTTTTCAGGGGGGCAAAAAAA